TTAAAAATGTTCGACCGATGGTCGTGTTGGTTCTTTGAGCTACGTTTACCTGTAAGATGTAGGAATAGAACTTTCTATTTTTAGAACTCATATAGCCTTGGGCATAAAGCCTCACCTAGAGATTTATTCAAGTTATGCAACCATGATTTTGATAATATATCTTGATTTATCGATATAACTACAAGAAACTGAGTGTTATTATGTTACCATCTAACACCGTCAGTCAAACACCGATGCGTCAAACTTCGCGGTTGTCTCGAAGTAAAAGCTCGATCCCAGCGTAATCCTTCATTAGTCAACATTGGCGTTTGTGTCGAACCTCGGGTAACTCGAAGTGTTAATGTCCGTTATTTCAACTTCGACACAACAGTGCAGGACTATGTTACTATCTACCATCGTCAGTCTGACGCAGTTGTGTTGAACCTCAGGTAACTCGAAGCGTTAATGTACGTTATTTCAACTTCGACACAACAGTGCCGGACTATCTACCATCGTCAGTCTGACGCGGTTGTGTCGAACCTCGGGTAACTCGAATTGTTAATGTACGTCATTTCAACATCGACACAACAGTGCTGGACTATGTTACTATCTACCATCGTCAGCCTGACGCTGTTGTGTTGAACGTCCGGATGTCTCGAAGTGTTAATGTACGTTATTTCAACTTCGACACAACAGTGCTGGACTATGTTACTATCTACCATCGTCAGTCTGACGCAGTTGTGTCGAACCTCGGGTAACTCGAAGTGTTAATGTCCGTTATTTCAACTTCGACACAACAGTGCTGGACTATGTTACTATCTACCATCGTCAGCCTGATGCTGTTGTGTTGAACGTCCGGATGTCTCGAAGTGTTAATGTACGTTATTCAAGCTTGATTCCTGCGTATTCCTTCGTTGGTCACCACTTTGTCGAATTTGATTAACTCGAAACACATGCGTAGGTCCCTTCAACTTCGCAACAAAACTATGCCAACTGTGTATGTGGAATGTGTTGTTATGGTGAAAATGTGTTAATATTCTTGAACAATCAAAAAATTCATGATTAAAATGAAATGATACATGTATTTTAAACATTAAGTGGCCGTGAATGTACTATTTATAAAAAGAGTTGGTATATGACGTGTTGATTGTCAATTAAACATTAACTGCCCGTGATTGTACTATGGTACTATTCAGAGCTGGCAAGCTTACAAAATCTGGACTAAAGTACTGTAGGAAATGCTAGAAAAATGCTTTTTACTTATATTTAAAACAGCTTTTTGTATTACAGTTCCTTAAATAACAAATATCACTTTAAGAAACATCTACCTAATGTAGACCGAGGGAATAAATTTTGAGACATGCCCTAAAATGTGTTTTTACTGATGAAAATACCAAAAACTTAGAAAAATAACGGGTAGTGGGACGTTATTTGATACAAACATTAACTGCCTGTGTTACGTCATCAGCATGCACGGTATCGACAGGTGAAATTGACACCTGAGCACGCGCACGGGCGAGGGGTCATCTCAATAGATGTTTTCTTCAAAATGTTGAATATGTGTAAGTATAGTATACGTATTGGTTATGTAAGGGAGCATTTGTGTATGTGTGTATGTGTGTATGTGTGTATGTGTGTTTGGTTTGAAATAAACATACGAATTACTGTACATTGGAAAGAATCCTATCACTTGTGTTATCTTATAGATTGATTGTAGAAATGTGCAACGTTTTAATAAATGTTTTGCATGTCAACAGTATATTTCATTGCAAAAATATGGATGTAATTCGGTCAGTTTATTCTAGTTGTGAACATTGGCCAAAGATTTAACGAAGTCACTGGTGTAGCTTCTTTAGAATTTATATATTCTTCTTCTCATAAAGTTTGTAGACCGCCCGTCTAAGTACTCCCTTGTCAAAGTTGTCAAGGATGGTTTTACGTCCCGGGTTTGCTTTTGAGACGGCCCCTGTCTTGTCTCATTTGTTTACAATATTGTAAACTTGTTGGTAAGGCATACCAACAGCTCTACAAGTTCTGTAATAAACCCTTTCTAAACTAATGAAAGGTTTACCTCTGTCTTTTTCAAGCACAAAAAACGTATAAACCTTTGCAACAATTGACTGCAAATAGTTGGCCATAGTGGACGCTGTGATAAAGATGTGCTTGCATGACGGGAAACTTATTTATCAAGACTTAACATTTATATTAATATTTCTTCAATAAAGAAACGATAATTAAGTAAAGTAACAAAAACATTCAACATTTATTTGTTAAGAAAAACGTTGATTCATATTTTTACACCACCTGTATTATTAGCATAAATGTAAAGACTATTTCAGATTTCTGGTGGTGAACTCTGAAAAATTTTAAGTTGTTGTTTTGGTACCATATTCTCTCCTGTAAACTGCCCCTTAAAGGCATGGGAATGTTAAATCGGTTGAAATAGAAATTAGGTACACTATAGGCGAGTTGATATATTGACAACATAGTACATTTATCACCTTTATCAAAGTATTAAGGCTAAAAAGCATATTTCTCGCATTTCCGACAGTACTTTAGCAACTTTCTGACCGGCCATTCAACTATGGTGAGTCCCCCAGAAGGCCGTCTGGCTAGACAGTGCGAGTGTTTAATTCTGGATCCCGCCATGATATCCCTGAAATATTTTTGTTAAAGCGCGTAAAACCTTACACAATCTCACAATGAACATTGCAATATTCCAACAAACTCAAGTAGACCATCAAACATGTGGAGAATCAAACCCGGGTGTTCGGCTTATCGGGTGTTCGGCTTATCGAGCGAACGCTTTAACCATTTGACAATTCCTCTTCAATAATGGTAATGAGAGTAAAAATCTGTAGTTATCGTGGATAGCTTGAAACAAGCGGGAAGACATTAAATGATTTGCGTACTCCTCAGGGTATCCATATTTTTTAATGTGTTTCTCAGTCCAGCCTCAACCAACAAGAGATTGAACAAACTATAAAAAATATATTAAAATGAAAAAATCAAAGAATTGTTTTTCCCAAAATCTCAAACATATTTTCAGCAATTGTAAAATTTAGATCAACATCGGGGATGAAAATTCAGGGCTGGTTGGAGTGAGTGTGAGTGACTTTAGTTTTACGCCGCTTTTAGCTACTAGTATATTCCAGAAATATCACGGTTGGGGACACCAGAAAATAGGCTTCAAACATTGTACCCATGTGGGGAATCAAAACCGGTCTTCGGCGTGACGCTTTAACCGTTAGGCTACCGCTTTAACCATTAGGCTACCGCTTTAACCATTAGGCTACCGCTTTAACCACTAGGCTACCACTTTAACCATTAAGCTACGCCATCGCCTGCAGTTGTCTGGATATCAAAAGTAGGGAAGTTTGGAAGAATGAGTGAGTGAGTTTTGTGTTGCGCCGCTTATAACAATATTCCAGCAATATCACGGCGGGGGACACCAGTAATGGGTTTCTCACATTGTACCCATATGGGGAACCGAACCCGGGCCTTTGGTGTGACGAGCGAACCCTAGGAGTGAGTGAGTTTAGTTTTACGCCGCACTCAGCAATATTCCAGGTATATGGCGGCATTCTGTAAATAATTGTGTCTGGACCAGACAATCCTGTGATCAACAGCATGAGCATCGATCTGCGCAATTGGTAACCGATGATTTGTGTCAACCAAGTCAGCGAGCCTGACCACCCGATCCCGTTAGTCGCCTCTTAAGACAAGCATAGTTTACTGAAGATCAATTTTCTAACCCGGACCTTCACGGGTAGCGAACCCTAGGACGAGACGAGATGAAACACGCAAGATCGGTGAAAGATTCCTGTATGAAATGTAAATCGTCTATTAATCAAAACCTTAAGCTATTTCCTTTCTTCTTATAAGATCAAGTTCGCTTCTTTGTTAACAATGTCGCTAAATTCCGAATCACATATATTTCCTTTCGGAATAAGTAGAATATTCAGAAAAACCTGCTAGCAATAGGACTCTGAATGTATAAACAGTCTTACACCATTGTGTCGAACTATTATAACGGTTGTCACGAAGTAAAAACCTGGTCCATGCGTACAACAAGGACTGGTCGACTTGTATAATGTGTATAATGTGTCTAAGTTGGTATTCATGCTTCACTGCGGCATGGTATCTCAGTGGGCTAGCACTATAAAACCAGTTTAAGTCTGGGCTAGTACAAGCAGCCGCACATACACATGTACATGTATACACACGCATGCAAGTCGTCATATGAGCGAATATTCTCCAGCGCGACGTTAAACCGAATTTCACCTCACCTCACCATAAACAGAATTTTAAATAAAAACTAGCCTATATTTTTCAAGCTTCATCGAACATTTGACAAAAATGCCTACATTATATATTGAGCTTATATCAGTCGAAACAGCATTTATGTCTACAAAATATAGGATAGAGGTGCGTCTAACTGGATGTCTTGAGGTATATGGCGCCGCATGCTGAGGTGTTGGTCCAGTCGTGTCTTCTCTACCTTGAAGGCTAATTAATACATATCATATGTATCACTATTACAAGTCAATATATATATATATAATAATATATATTCTTAAATTTTCAGAATTCTGTTGTGAAATTTGAACGAGTATACACCTGGGTTTGTTGGGATATTTAAATGCATAATAATTTGTGAAAGAAACAGTTAGACTCGAGTATGAACTCTTTACAGACGGTCCTAACGATACTCTGAATCCTTGCTGTACGTGTCAGTCTGTTCATTTCCTTGTTTGCGAACAAACCCTTGTTGATTTCACTGTTGTTGATGATGCCACACGCCCACAGCCTTGTGAGGTCATATGAGGTCACAAGTTGAACTCTGACCTTATTACATATTTTTGTCAAGGTCGAAAATAAACATTTCTTGGCTCGTTAGCTAATTTCAAACTCTATCTGTGTAGTATATATAGTACATTTATAGTACTTACCCCGGGAAAATAATGCAAATAAATTTTACGTCATAGCTTGTGTTGTTGTTCAGTGTGCACGTGGTTTGACCGCGTGGCGTGTAGAGTTCGCCATTTTGTTGTGGTTTGCGAGAAGGGCCGTGTCGGGCGGAGTGGGTTTTTGATCGAAGGATGAGCGATGAGGACAGGGATGTGGACGTTGAAAGTGACGTGAGTTGTAAAACAAATTCTCAGCTTTCAATTAATCCATTCCTTGCATTTGTAAAGACGCTAGTATGGGTCAGATGAAGGGTGAAGTCTGATCCGTACGCGTTTGTACTTGCAGGAAGACGACGATGACGGGAGTATCTGCCTGGATTCGCCAACGTCGGGATCCCAGGCTTCTGGCCCATATTTGAGTCAGGTAGTCCGTACGGAAGCTGACACATTTAATGCTTTCTTCAGTTCTGTCAATTTCTTTATTTGTAAGGTGGGGGTAGATTCGCTTATGTTTTGACAGAAGTGCACGTGAATAGCTAATCAGCGACAAGACCACGTGATCATCGAGCTGTCAGTTGGTGATCAAGTCCCGGAGATACGCTTATATGCATGCAATATTGTAGTTTAGTCTCACAGTACACAAACCACATACGGTTTTTAACCTTGCAGATAGTCTGCACAATGAAATATATGCATTGTAGCCGTCAACTCATCCAGTTTGGTGTGATAGATCCAGTGACGTCACACCTGTATGTAAACAAATACCAACATGTGTTAATCTATACCACTTGCCAATCATGCAGAGCAAACACTGACATATATGAATCCGATGCAGCCTACAGTTCATGTAGGGCTGTTGCATAGTCAAACTGGTTGATAAAATAGATATTTCCATACAAGTGAGGCTGATGTTTATTCATGCAAGACCAGTTGCTGATAGTTCCTGTGGGAGTTCAAACCATAAGCACAGGTTTCTGTTAGGAAAGAATTCTGCCATAGCCGTTGACCATAATTGTTCCCCTTTTCAGTGTTCAATGTCCAAGTTGGTGGAGGATGTATATGGAAGTAAGAATGCAACATGTTTTGCACTCTACTTTACATTTTCCAAGCCTACAACCAGTTTAGATAGTTCAATCAAGCCCCTATACTAAGTACTGGCTGGATGCATTACAGTTCCTGAATGGCACTGACTAGGTTTTGCGCTATGCAGTTGTCCCAACTAAGGCTGATGGGGTACGAAAAGCACTTCTAGTCTTCTTGTATACTTGCCTTCTTGATTTGCTGGTTTGGTCGGAGGGCACATTTCTTGGCCCAATTTATTCTATCTGTTCTTTGAGAATTACCATTTTTGTAGCTTTCAAGAAAATGTGTTAAATGTATATATATCATCTTTCCTAAATGTTCTGCATATTATTTAAGAAGTTACCCATTCAGGAAAAAAACATGCATTTTTCTTTTTGTTTATTCATTAAAAAAGACACTAATTTACTGAATTTGCGTGTTGTGGATTCTCAAAAATGACAATGCAACTTCAAGTTTAATCATTGTAAGGAAATTTTTGTCTTGTGTCATACCTTTCGTTGCTTCACAGCTCATACTGGATGAGAACTATTAAAACCAAATTTGACATATATGAGACTTAAAAAGGCAGAACTTTTTGGTCTGATCTGTTAGTCAAGTGTTAATTATGTCTTATTGCCATATAACATATAATTGTCCACAAGAAAGCTTTCATCTTAGGCCAAATAAACACCTGATTACACCTCTTAAAAATTTAGGGTAGGTAGGTCGGAAATTTTGTATCTTTTTTTAGAAGTAAAGTACAAACTAAAAACACATTTATCAATGTGTAATTGTTTATTCTATCAAGCTTGCGGCCATCATATCGACTTTCTCTATCAGAATGACAGATATCTGTTGGTGCCGGGGAAAACAATGGTATCTGAAAGCTTATTTTATTCATTCCGCTTAAAAAAAATAGGGTCGGCACCAGAAGTCAAGGGTTGGTCGGGTAATTGGAACCACAACATTTCTTTTTTAGGTCTTATTAACAAGCACACGTGAGATTGAGAATACTGCACAGATTACTATCTGGTGCTCACTTTCGAAGGGATCAAATTTTGCATCTAATATTTATTGTATATTCTGACAGTTCAAAGAACTGGCACACAGTTAAAAGAGTTACACAATATTACTAACAAGCAGAAGAATATTCTGCCGATCATAAGTCATAACAATATTTGTCATATGTCCAAGAGCTGAAGGACACACAGGACATCCAAAACAGTGCTAGTAAAATCTAAAAGATATCCACGTTTTACCCTTGCTTTCCTTAGGAAGGGGGGTGGTGGGGTAGCCTAGTGGTTAAAGTGTTTGTTTGTGATGCCAAAGACCCGGGTTCGATTCCCCTCATATGCACAATGTGTGAATCCCATTTCTGGTGTCCCCTGACCTGATATTGCTTGAATATTGCTAAAAACAACGTAAAGCTAAACTCACTCACTCCTTGGGAAGGTCATGGTCCTGTGTGTACTTTTGTCCACTTCTCTTTCCCATGAAACACCCCTTTAACTAACACAGCATTTACTATTCAGCATTAATGTATCATATTGTTTCAGTGATGAAGTAACCTTTGGCACAAATTGTTAACAATACAGTTATGACATTCTTGACCGAAAGAATTCTTTATGACACATTTAATATCTATTTAGGCTGAAACAGTTGATTACCTGTAATGTACATTAAGGCTGTAACGATTCACGCGCATATTCGGTGAATCGAACCGTAGCCCTTCATGAATTCAATTTGTTATTCATGGTCACCAGAACTGAATATTTAAGATTTTTTTAAGGGAGCATGTTTTACTTGAACCCGTGTCTACTTTTGGAAAGTGAGATATACTAGCATTGCAGTAGCGAAGTGATGTTAGTCTGCCAAGGCCGCACATTGTACTGTCGACTATAACTATTACATACCAAATTTGAGTGTCATGAGATCACTGGTTATTGCTGTGACAAATCAAAACTGTCAACATGGTCGTTCCATATTGTACATCAATCACTTAACTACAATATTGTATTCGGTGTATAATTATTCGTATTCGTTACCCAATATTCATGATTCGTATCATATTCGCCACCTAGTGTATTCGTTGCAGCCCTAATGTACATGCATGACAGATGTTTTGTGTGGTCCCTTGCATTAGTTTTTCCAACTGTTTATATGAAAGGGATTTAATTTGTCATAACTGATTCTCGCTGCAGAAGTTGATGTGGTATAATGCAAGATTTATTTATTCCTTTTGCTATAGCTGCTGAGATCATTATACCCAAGTCACTCATGCTAGTAACACTGAAAAAGTTCTGAAAGTACATCCTAAATGACCCAGATACTTACCCCATGCTACAATGCATATCATTGTCCAGCAAGTCAAAACTTTCATCATTATTCTTAGTCAGCTGAGTGATCTAGCCGAAACGTGCATATTTGGACATCATTTTAGGCCAGGTATAGTCTGAATATATGGACTATTATCCAATGATGAGTGGAGCTGTGACGATATATCGTAGTATCAATAATCGTGATACTTTATCTGACGATCAATATATCGACACGTTTTTTCGTATCGTGATATGTATCGTTGACCTTAAAATTCTTAACTTTCATTAGATATTGACAGTTATATCAAAATTTCTTCCCCACATGGGCACAATGAGTGAAGCCCATTTCTGGTGTCCCCTACCGTGATATTGCTGGAATATTGCTAAAAGCGGCGTAAAACCAAAATCAGTCAGTCAGTCAGTAAAAATTTCTTGCTATTAAAATATGATTTTTAAAAGAAAATAACTAAAGAAAGCATATCGTGATATGTATCGAATTGAATTGTATCGTTTCAAGATATCGCGATACATATCGTATCGTGAAATTTCTGTATCGTCACACCTCTAATGATGAGTAGTGCGTAATATGGACTATTATCACAGCTTTCTAAACACTTTGTTTTGTGAGAATCAACTTTATCTTGTGTTTTTAAAGTAACAGATATTACTCCTTCCTCCTTGAGGCAATCATGCAACCTCTGATCATGTTAAGTGGGCTTGGGATGATAGCTGTGTAACATGGGGTGAATTATTTAATCTTGTGTTTGATCCTGTGATAACATACGGGTTAGCAAGTAGTGATATACTCAGTGGTTATGTCTATAACCAGAAAATAAGATCCTATTGCTCTGGGAATAGGAAAGTGAAAGGAACACTTTCACTCGTTTCATTTGAAAATGTCAAAGCAAATTGTGTTAATAAGCAGTGTTAACATTGACAGTTCATAGAAATCATATTTATCATACAGATTCAGTACAATCAATATCCCGTTATACTTTTACCAGTAATTGCAGTCTCCAGTAACTGTCTCTTGAGGTCATTTGCAGTAAATTGTCGTTTTTCTGTTTGGAATTATATAAATAAAGCTCACAGCATAAAAGGACTTTTATACAGAAATAGGCAGGAAGTATATAAATAAAGCTCACAGCATAAAAGGACTTTTATACAGAAATAGGCAACAGATTTGTTACTGAAGTCACAGACTTCATTAGTTGTGTCTTCGGATATTCGTTGTCTTTCCAATGTATTTAGGTTGTTTCACAATAGTTAACTATGCTAACAATTTATGTCCATGAAGGGAAACTTGATACCTGTATGGCTGTATTCATGATTCATGCTAAGTTAAGCCCTGCTTACATGTGAAATGTTTATCGCCAAAATGACAATAATATGCAAACACTGGGTCTAAAACCACCTGCACCACCAGCAGTGTGGGCAAGTACATTGGCTATTTATAGGTCTGATCACCGGCTCAAACTGACAGTAGCTAGCAGGTTTAGCCAACATGTGTCAGCACTAAACACAGACACAGATTTAAATAGATATATACACTGAACACAAAATGCCTGTCCGTCGCAAAGTAAGTTTCAATATTTTATAATCAGTGGACAATAGCTGCACCCTCTGGGTTAATTAGAAAATGAACTTTGTTACGGTTGGGATGATAGACAACTGCTTCTTATTGTTGATTGTGATGATGCTGTAGGCCAGATGTAGGTGTTGAATGTTGTCATGTGGATTGAACATGTTGAAATATTTCTGATCGGTGATTTGGCAAATAGGTTATGTTTGTGTAATCATATAAGAATCTGGTTAACTTGACAGGAACCTTTTATCAGGTTACAATGAAATTAGGAATTTTTTAGGATTGTTTTCTTTTTGGTAATAACTGTTGTCTGACTATGCTATTTAATCGTAATATAGTGCTGGACATGAATGACAGTCTCTGCCAAGAATGTTAGGTTCACTGGCCTGAATTTTGCTAAAAGCGACAGCTTCTGTAGATGTTAATGTTCTTATTGTACTGTTAATAGTTGAGCTTACTGGACTAGAAATAATTACTAGACTATGGACTAGCAGCTGTGAATGTGATAGTGTTGTTTTGTTTGGTTGAGAATTAGTTTCCATATGGCAGTCCTATATCTGTAATATTTAGTAGCTGCATGGCCCATGTAGGTCCATGATAATGAACAGGAAAGTGAAGCCACTAAAATAATGATGTATGTCAGTCTTGTTACGATTCACTCACATATTCTGTGAATCGAACCATATCTTTTCAGGAATTCAATTCATTACTCGTGGTCACTAGAATCAAATATTTACGAATATGTTCAGGAGAGTGTTATTATTTGGATCTAGTTTGTTGTTTATCTAAGAGAGCGACGTAAAATAGAATACATCCAAGCCATGCAGTAGAGTAAATTGTGTTTTGAAGTATGCCCCTCTCTCCACTCTGTCATTAGGCTCTTTGTTCATGATGTATTCATTTTGTGGGTTTTTATAAAATATCGCTTAAATGTTTCAACTAACGGAATCACGTGGCATGTTATGTTGTTTTCTAGATATTCACCGTAAAATTTTCATGAATAAATATTCGCATTTGTTACTATATATTCGTAAAACATATCGTGTTTGTGTAGTGTATTCTCTGCAGCTGTAGTGTGTCACGCTGACACCAGCAGGTCTGAAATACATGTCACAACTATTGGCATCGTCTGTTTTTGTCCCAGTTGAATTCACTTTGATTCAATAAGCGATTCACCTGGTATGTCTGCGCATATTGACCAAGGCATAATTATGTATCATATTGAAATGATTGATGATAATGCTTCAGTGGCGAAGTCCTGCAGCCATATTGATGTTCAGTTACACAATATATCCCTGTAGGGGCTCTGATGCCATTACAAATAGTAGACACTATTAGTCCCCATCCTGAAGCCGAGCCTTATGTTACATAGAATATTTCCTGATGTGTAATTATTTTCGTACCCACTACCATACTTGTGCAAAGGTTTTGTTGTGATTAAGCAAATAGTGAAACATTAAGAGAGCTATCTATGCAAATAAATGTATTGGTCCAAACCTGTCTCTTGACATTAGGTTGTCAGTGTACCATTGTGTTTATTTATGCACTTTCATTAGTAAAGCTTGCTTGGCCAGATATGACTTCACTGAGGCGACCGGTGGCTTAAGTCAGACTGAGATACCATAGTGTACAGTCAGCAAACAGATATAGCAAGAAATATAGCAGATAATTGCACAGGAATATCATTAAAGTTCTTGAAAGGCATTTAGAAGTTGGACAAACATTTCTCCTGATGAAGGAGCAAGAATTACCTCTGAAACAAAAAGAATAAAAAGAAATTATGTCATATAGGGAATATCATTGCTCCCTGCAAAGCTAACTAAGCTTGCTAAGGCAATTTTTCTTTTGCGGAATTTTTATTTGTTCCAAAATGTTAGCATACAAACATTATTTATTTTGGATTATTGTGACCAAGTTCAGCCATGAAATGCATTGTTACACTTCAACCTCAGCTTCATTTATTTTATGTAGAACATCTTCATTCACTAGCATGGCTTTTTTAAACAAAATCAAAATCACAACACAGTATCATGCTAACTAACACTTGCCTATGAAAATAGTTTATGATTAGCTGGATGCAGGAGGTCATATTTCTTGCAGGAAGCTATGGTCGTGTTATAACACTAGGAGGGATTGAGGATGCTTATGATAACCAAATGGCAAATTTAATTCCCTGCATTATGAAGAATCTCCCAGGCTGTGTTTAATAATGTCATTGATTTACTAATACCACTTTTTATACACTTTTTCAGCGCGCTTTAGTTTTGGTGTCCTGCATGGTTGAATTTGTTTGAATATAAATGCATAGTTAGTTGTTCGAAAATATTTTAAGTGTTTAATTCATAATTTGTGCTGTATTTTTGCTGCCGTTTCATTATTCAACACAATCTTAATGCATCAGATTTAATGTTCAATTATTTTATTTTATTTTTAGAATTTTTCAACGTTTATGTTTATATGTTGTTTGCGGCTGTAAGACAACAGCGGAAAGTAGAATTCCCCGAAGTGCACATCCAGGGTTTCACATGACAAAGATCTTGAATTGGGAGGATAAAAATGTTTTGATGAAATACTTGAAACAGCATCAATTGCAACATAATTTACAATGTCTACTTGTTTGTCTGTGTGTGACATTGCAGCCCTGAATTTTTACTGCAAGTTAAATGTTCATTTTGGAATATCAATTAAGCCTTGTCAGTTCATCTGGAATCTTACATAATGATAAAATTAAAGCTGGACCAAAATTCTTCTGATGTTATATGTGGTGTTTTTACTTTTCCAAAAAGAAGTCACAGTTGTCAATTCTTCTCAAATAAAAGATACAGTGAGATGGCTTTCAGCCAGCAAAGTTCATGTGAAGCCCTGTGTAGGTTCTGCTTCTGTTGGAATCTCATCAATTTCCCTCACAATGTCAGAGACCAGCAGTAATGATTTTCAGGATATGGAACTGGATGCATTTGTGTTTGACACAATGTTGCATTCATTGTCATATATAGATCAGACTTCTCATATCCTCCAGCTACACGCAAATGGATTGTGATCACATGGCATTTGGCCAAGATCTGGACATGGTTGGCAGAGGAAATTTGTCAAAGGAGCTTGGTGCACCAGCTCCACAAAAAAACATTGTTGATGTCACTGAAAACTTGATAAGCAGCTTCGGTGACATTTAACTGTTCTTAAATGTTATGTCTCTTGAATGTCTTAATATTCAACTAGTTTCCATGCTGATATATTTGTAAAATAAGATGGAAATTTCACATTTTCCACAGTCCAGCTTGTACTCTGAGAGAATTACCTATGGTTTCAAAGTAAGTGTTCTCGGCAGGCAAATGTGCAGGGGAAAAAAATGATTTTTGTGCTAAACATGGATTTATCTAAAGTTTATTTATATGTATTTTTTCAGAAACTGAGTTTTGTAAGAGTGTATTTAATGCCCAAAACATAAACCCTGTATTTCTATTATCAGTGAAATACAAGTCACCAATCTGTAACACTGGTTAAATATGATTAGGGAAATCTAAATTTCCAGTTTGAGAATGTTTACTGACATGCAGACTTTTGGCCAAGGACCAGCTTCTGTGCAGGTCTAGGTAGATCGAGGCATGAGATATCATGGCCGTGTTCATTTACTGACATACATCTTGTTGGCACCCTGGACAATATTCAAGCTTAACCGTCACTGAATTCATTGAAGCTCACAAGCATGAAACAGAATTTAGATTGAAATTAGTATGATTTGAATCATGCAATGTATGTTAGAGGAAGTGGGTTTAGTTTTCCGCTGCCAGAGACGCCAGAAATGGGCTTCACACATATTCTGCCCCAGATCTGATTCCAAATCTTATAGGGGCGGTGGGGGGTATAACCCAATGGTTAAAGCGTTTGCTCATCATGTCAAAGACCTGGGTTCCTTGCCCCACGTGGGTGCAATGTGTGAAGCCTATTTCTGGTGTCCCCCACAGTGTAAAACTAAACTCACGCCAAATCTTATAGAGAGGGTTATAACAGATGTGGCTTGGCCGAGGTGACTTGTATTCACTGATAACAGGACTAGAGAGGAGGAAGAGATTTATTTCTACTTCCTCTGAAAATAAGAACCATAATTTGGTACAAAATACCATTTTTTTTGCAATTTGCCAGACAAGGGAATACTACATGAAACTTGGGTGTTTTGTAACAAAGTGTGTACGTTTAGACACTTAGCTGATGGATGTCAAGACTGTATGCAGCAGAATTTACCTCATGTTTGTTACGTTTGAATGCCTGTCCTAATTCTCATCATTTTTCTTCAGGCCGAGAAGCGGGCGCACCACAATGCATTGGAGCGGAAGCGCAGAGACCACATCAAGGAGAGTTTCCACAGCCTCCGCGACTCCGTCCCGGCCTTGGAAGGGGAAAAGGTCTCGGTAGGCATGAACAAAGTACAAAGCAACCTGTGGAAACTATTCACAGTATTTACTTCTATAATGTTGAGCCCACTTGGACCAGAGGTCTGTGTGGGCTGTATTGTTTTGTCTGTCAAGTGTAATTGTTAGGGATAGTCCTAGGTCTTGTAACACCTCGAACATTGAGCCATTGAACAACTGTCTTTGAAACACTGTAAATCCAGTGATGGGGAAAAGGTTGGGCCTAATGGGCCCACCTGTGATAATAAGGGGCATACCTGTGATAATAAGGGGCATGTCTTCATAACAATTAGATTTGCTGGTCTTATGAATTAGGACTGGAAGTCTTGTCATTTCATTATGGAAATTGGCGGTAATTGGTGCAATTGCTGTCATTTTTTATATATTTTTTCGGGGGAGGGTGATAGAGAGAGGGGAATAGAAAGTATTTCCAGACACCTGTGTTTCCTGTATGTTGGATGACTTACCCTCGACCAACATTGACATAACAACAACCTTTTAAGTGTGATCTGGTATGTCGTGATTGTTGGTAGTTGTAGGGGGGTGTTGTCACGATTGCGATAGTATAGCAATAGTACCTCACACTTTAGCAATAGTATTGCCAAAGGTATCAACCATTACAATAGTAGCAAACAAACTTTGAGGCTTGAAAATTATATTAAATGTTATAATAGAAAGATATAAAGTATTGCTGACAATCTAAAAAATATCCATTTTCCTCTCTGCAACTTCTCAAAAAAATGGAAATTAACTCTAATCCAGAGTCGTTCTAGTCCTTGCTAATGAACCACATAAGCAGATTTGGAATTTGAGGTGACTGACGGGATCAGATGGTTAGGGTGATTTGGATGACACGTCATTGTATCCCAATTACATAGATCAAAGTTCATGCTGTAGACCACTGGATTGCCTAGCCCAGACTGGATTATTTACAGATCACTGCTATATAGCTGGAATATAGCTGAGTGCAGCGTTAAATTAACAATTAAACAATTAAGTACTTTCAATTGGCAAGGTAAAATTATGAGGATTCGCAATCTAAATTTCACTTTATTCGATTTTCTTTTTTGTTTAAAGAGAAATTCATCAGTACATTTTCACTGCCAACAGACTATAGTACAGTAATCATGTGGTCAGGGCAACAGGTCACTGATGTTTAGGTTATCTATCATTCCATCTCTCTGGAGCACTCATCAAACGTGGACACTGTACCTTCTGTACCAGTAGTGTACGAGTGAACCAGCCTACTCTGACTATATAATCTTGTGTAAAAATTCAGTACTTTTTTTAATTTAATTCATTGGAGTGCAGTGTTTAGCCTCTATTGAAAGTTACCCACATGTGTAGATTGTATATGCAGGGTTTTTATAATTGAGGCTGAGGCTGAGGTATTTCTTTAAATGTTTACTGATTTGTAGTGACAGAGCATCTGTCAGGAAGTCATTTTATGTTGATTATGGTCCCCTGCCTTTTACATTCTGGCTTTTGAGACAAAATAGTATGATGCTTTTGCATTCTTTTCCAGGCTGCAGCCCCTTCGGTAAGAGTCCACTTGCATCAGGATTAGGCTGTTATACAATGTGTGGCCTGGCTGATGCGTGTCATTGTACCCCAGCAGCGTGGATCGTTGTTCATGCTATCAACCACTGTTTGCCTGGCCCAAGCTGTTTACAGGATGCTGTGATATAGCTGTAATATTGCTGACTACGGTGTTGACCAACATTCACCCACATCAGTCATCAAGTTAAATAAATCAAATAAGAAAATTGAAATAGTTGAGACTGAGTTTCAAATCGTGTAAAATGGTTCAGATAAGTAGTGGGAGTCTCAAATCGTGTTGAATAGTTCAAATAAGAAGTGGGAGTCTGAAATCATGTAATATTGTTCAAGTAAGTAGTGGGTGTTTCAAATCATGGAAAATTGTTCAAATAAGTAGTGGGAGTCTCAAATCATGGAAAATCTCAAATCATGGGAAAATTGTTGAATAAATTGTGANCGAGTCTCAAATCATGAAAATTGTTCAAATATGTGAAGACTGAACATTAACTGATCAAATATAGTAAAAGCTGAGTATTTTTCTAGTTTTGAAAATGTATTCTAAAATATTTTTCGTGTACTTTTACATGGACTTCCCTGTTCTGAATAAATACTCCAGATAAGGATTTAAATCAATTTTGTATTTTCCCACATGATGTGAGATTATATTTAGGATTCAGCCTATGCTTTAGATATTCTGTTAATATTTATCAAAACATTGCAGAGATACTATGACAGTGCCCAAAGTTCCTGTGCTGGTTTTGTTATCGTGCTAAATGGCGAAGATTTACATTTTTCTGTTATTGATTTGTGTCAACATCTGATGATCGTAATCAGTTACATGGATTTGATCATTCCTGATGCTAGCAACAGTTGCTTTGCCTCCAGAGACAATTTATCAATTAAGATGCTAATTACAAGTAACAGGTGGTAATAATTACTTTAGAATATGGTTGCAACAAATCATTAGTTAATTACAAGTATCCATGATATAGGCTTCGAATTGCTGATTTGGCACAAAGGAACAATTTCCAAACCAAGTTTGTTTCTTTGAATGGCAAAGGAGTTTGAAGATTTTCTGCTCAAAAGAATTTAAGAAAATATTGTATCATACGACTGCAATTTAACCTTCCATCATTATCGTGAGTGTGTCATGTAAAAATTAAGCATCTTTCTTCTTCAAAACAGATATACTCATACTAAATATGTTGAACAGCTAATGTTATGGGGGGTGACAAAAGTTTCAGCTCAAAACAAAAGTTGCTGGTGAGCCACAGTGCCTTGAAGCTTTTGTATGTAACGTTAATATCGTGGTGTAAATTTCCATTATTTTCATCAGTTGTTTCCTGTATAGGGATGTTAAAATTACGGGATACAAAACACAATTATTTCTTCAATATTTTTCAAACTATTTTTGAATTTACAAGGTATGGGGAATATGCGATTGCAGTCTTCAACAGTTGTGTTACAGATGTCTAGAGAGTCCTTTTAATGAACACTTAAAACGAAACTGACATGACATTTGTCACAATTTGATGAAGTCAATCAAGATTCAGGACTACAAGTCTATTTGTGGCAGTGTTTGTTTCACCTCAAATGGGGGTGGTGGGGTAGCCTAGTGGTTAAAGCGTTCTCTCATCACGCCGAAGACCCGGGTTCGATTCCCCACGTGGGTACTATATGTGAAGCCCATTTCTGGTGTCCCCGGCCGTGATATTGCTGGAATATTGCTAAAAGCGTCGTGAAACCAAACTCACTCACTCACTGACCTCAAATGTAACTTTAATAGTAGCCAGTAGTGATATACATGTAGCTGGAATATTGCTGAGTGCAGCGTTAAATTAACAAGCAAACAATTAAGTACTTTCAATTGGCAAGGTAAAATTATGAGGATTCGCAATCTAAATTTCACTTTATTCGATTTTCTTTTTTGTTTAAAGAGAAATTCATCAGTACATTTTCACTGCCAACAGACTATAGTACAGTAATCATGTGGTCAGGGCAACAGGTCACCGATGTTTAGGTTATCTATCATTCCATCTCTCTGGAGCACTCATCAAACGTGGACACTGTACCTTCTGTACCAGTAGTGTACGAGTGAACCAGTCTACTGTAAGCTAGGCTCCAAGCTGACTATTTAATCTTGTGTACAACTTCAGTACTTTTTTAATTTAATTCATTGGAGTGCAGTGTTTAGCCTCTATTGAAAGTTACCCACATGTGTAGATTGTATATGCAGCGTTTATATGATTGATATTGAGGCTGAGGTATTTCTTTAAATGTTTACTGATTCGTAATGACAGAGCATCTGACTACCTGTCCAAAGCCAAGTTTAATTCATGAAATGTTTAATGTACGTTTTCCAGACAACCTTCATTCTGATGAGAAACATTTTTTTGCAACTCTTACTGAAAATGATACTTCCCCCATCAATGAATAGTTTTTTGTAAACTGACCCAATTTCCTGATGTCGTACAATCTAACTGCTTCAGTGTGATAGGATCAAGGTTAAGGTCATGTATTACACTATCCTCTTCATTAGTGACCTTTGGTATGCATGTGCTTGTCAGGAAGTCATTTCATGTTGATTATGTGCCCCTGCCTTTTACTTTCTGGTTTTGAGACAAAAAAGTATGATGCTTTTGCATTCTTTTCCAGGCTGCAGCCCCTTCGGTAAGAGTCCACTTGCATCAGGATTAGGCTGTTATACAATGTGTGGCCTGGCTGATGCGTGTCATTGTACCCCAGCAGCGTGGATCGTTGTTCATGCTATCAACCACTGTTTGCCTGGCCCAAGCTGTTTACAGGATGCTGTGATATAGCTGTAATATTGCTGACTACGGTGTTGACCAACATTCACACACTTCAGTCATCACTTTAAATAAATCAAATAAGAAAATTGAAATACGTGTAAAATGGTTCAGATAAGTAGTGGGAGTCTCAAATCGTGTTGAATAGTTCAAATAAGAAGTGGGAGTCTGAAATCATGGAAAATTGTTCAAGTAAGTAGTGGGAGTCGCAAATCATGGAAAATTGTTCAAATAAGTAGTGGGAGTCTCAAATCATGGAAAATTGTTCAAATAAGTAGTGGGAGTCTCAAATCATGGAAAATTGTTCAAATAAGTAGTGGGAGTCTCAAATCATGGAAAATTGTTCAAATAAGTAGTGGGAGTCTCAAATCATGGAAAATTGTTCAAATAAGTAGTGGGAGTCTGAAGTCATCTAAAATTGTTCAAATAAGTAGTGGGAGTCTCAAATCATGGAAAATTGTTCAAATAAGTAGTGAGAGTCTCAAATCATGGAAAATTGTTCAAATAAGTAGTGGGAGTCTGAAGTCATCTAAAATTGTTCAAATAAGTAATGGGAGTCTCAAATCATCGAAAATTGTTCAAATAAGTTGTGGGAGTCTCAAATCATGGAAAATTGTTCAGATAAGTAGTGGGAATCTCAAATTATGGAAATTGTTCAGATAAGTTGTGGGAGTCTCAAATCATGAAAACTAGTTTAAATATGTGAAGACTGAACATTAACTGATCAAATATAGTAAAAACTGAGTATTTTTCTAGTTTTGAAAATGTATTCTAAAATATTTTAGGGGGGTGGGGACAAAAGTTTCAGCTCAAAACAAAAGCTGGTGAGCCACAGGGGGCTACAAGTCATTCATTTGTCCCGGACTAACATGAGTTTGTGACAAATGTTTTAAAGTAGTCCCTTGTAAAAGAATATGGTGATCTGAGAGGATGGCTACTGATTGCTGTCTGAAAGGATTGTGGTATTAGTGTTTTGTCTGTACTGTGAGTCAGGGCTTTGTTTGAGGAATCGGAGGTCAAGGTCACAAGATGAGAAGATTCAAGACCTGGTTTGTGGACAGTCCTATTAAATATTGCTTTTGCTGATACCAAATTCCTCATATCACGGCCCCCTGACTATCTCCAAGAGCAATTTGTAGGTATTCTGTGTAAATGCCCCTTACTAATCTAGAAAATGTGCATGGCAGTCCGTGTTGTCTATTGTATTTTGTTTTTTATATACCTTTGGAAATATAAGGTGAACAGCTGGTAATAATAATTACATTAGAATATAGTTTCAACAAATCAGTATCATCATTATGAATTAAAACTGGTTAAAATCTTAATTATTATGCAAGTGCTTCAATAATATTTACATTGCTGTTTGAGTTAAACAAAAGTAGAATTACCATTCTTGTTTGAGGTAGGTCTGATGTTCTCACGCCAATATGAGATCCTACCAAAGGGGGCTACAAGTCATTCATTTGTCCCGGACTAACATGAGTTTGTGACAAATGTTTTAGAGTAGTCCCTTGTAAAAGAATAGATGCTATTGTTGTAGATTGTTTTGAAACCATGCCTGTGTACATGTACAGTATGATTGCCATTTTCACTAAAATGCCTTTCCTTGTTAAAACCTCTGAGTTGATGTTAGATGGTATGGCTGCAGTAGTGTTATTATTTGAATACTTTCTGTCCATGATTTGAATACTTTCTGTCCATGATTTGAATACTTTCTGTCTGTCCATGATTTGAATACTTTCTGTCTGTCCATGATTAGAATACTTTCTGTCCATGATTTGAATACTTTCTGTCCATGATTTGAATACTTTCTGTCTGTCCATGATTTGAATACTTTCTGTCCATGATTAGAATACTTTCTGTCCATGATTAGAATACCAGGGTATGGTGTGGTTTTAATTGAATTTAATTCAAGGGACAATTGACTTAAAAAACTACTGTATTGTCATTGGGTTGTTCTTGAAATCCTATTTTATTGGTACATGTATTCACGTTCATATTCACCCCAAAGTTAATCTTTGGCAGATTTTCTCAGTACATTTTCCAGCCTATGTAAACTTGAACAATAACTTACAGCCGAAACGCTGTTTGAAGAGGCCTACATTAATATTTCGTGTCATCTGGGGCTCGACATAACCACAAAATGATGACTCAGAAAGGATATGTAGTGACCGTGCTTTTGTTACGAGACAAACATACATTTGACACTTGAAGGGTCGGCTTTTACCTCCCTTATAGTTCCACAAGTGTTTACTGTGGCCAGATGATGTTCAATACAAGTCATCTGTAGAGTAGGACATGGATGTGATGTTCTGAATAACTTCATTGAAGGTCGGGGCGGTGGGGTAGCCTAGTGGTCAAAGCGTTGGCTCGTCACGCCGAAGACCCGGGTTCGAATCCCCACATGGGTACAATGTGTGAAGCCCATTTCTGGTGTCCCCCACCGTGATGTTGCTGGAATATTGCTAAAAGCGGCGTAAAACCAAACTCAGTCAGTCAGTCAGTCAGTCATTGAAGGTCAAGGTCACTCGAATGGACATTGGTGTTATGGAATGTCTGTAATTGCTTGCACCCATGTTTCCTAATACTTAAGTATTGACCTGAAATTAATGTACTGGATAGCTATCGGGTTGTCTGTGAAAAAAATGAAAGTAATAGTATCAGATTCGGGAGACATGGTAATACAGTGTTTGGTGCCTCTGGAAACAGAATTGATTGGGCTGTTCTGTTTGTCCAAGCTCTATCAAATACTTTCCATTACGTGAAAAGTCGGTTTATCATTAAATGACTTCCTGTTTTTTTATCCTGAACAGTGATTTCAGCAAAAGAAACTCTGAATTGCTGAATTGTTCCTGACCAACAAATGCTGGTCGTATGCAGCTAGAATAGATCGGATAGTTATCGACTTGGTTGACAGCATGTCATTGCATGCAGAGAGGGTGGACTGTATCAATCACTGGATTGTCAAGTCCAGCAACAGTTACTTACAGGCATACATCCACAGTGCAGCATTAAATAAATCTTTTCACCTCAATTTGTTAATGTATACCTGGCCTGGAAGTGACTCAATCAGATTTTCAGAGGTGCTCATTACCATTTTTATAAAACATGGGTAGGGGCATGGAACTTCCTGTATGAGGCTTGGACGCATGCTTTAACTGTAATAGTTAAGGGCAAAGGTATACTTTATTACATTAGTATACATAGGGTACAGTGAACTGTATTTCTTAAAAAAACAACATAGGTTGAGTAATGGGACTTCCTGTATGAGGCTTGGTTTGCCCAGAATTAATGTATTTAGATAGGTGTGAGTGAAGTTTTTCGCCGCACTCAGCAATATTCCAGCTATATGGCGACGATCTGTAAATAATTGAGTCTGGACCAGACAATCCAGTGATCAACCGCATGAGCATCGATCTGCTCAATTGGGAACCGATGACATGCGTCAACCAAGTCAGTGAGCCTGACCACCTAATCCCGTTAGTCGCCTCTTACGACAAGCTTGGCTTACTGAAGATCAATTCTAACCTGGATCTTCACGGGTTATTTTTAGATAGGAAGTAAATTTCAGTTACTTATTAGGCAAGATTAATGTATATTATCGGGTTTGATCTTCTGTGAATATCAGGTTCCCTTAAGTAGGGGCGTTTTCAGACTGGTTGACCTTAGGGCTATTTATTGTTTTGAGGGGTCTGTGACTAAATAATTGTTATGGACTGCCATTTGGGGGATTTCTTTTGGCAAGTACCTGCAAATGCACCTGCTTTCCTCATGGGAGATTTAGTTTTCACTGAACCAAGATTTGCTTAGTTAGACTGGTTGCTGTAACATGGCTGTACTATTGCTGATGCGGGCAAAGCCTGCAGCCAGTAGCGCTATGGACCCACCGTCTCATATTGAGTAGTGACATTTTACTTAGCAATTTTGATTTTTGTAACAGGTATCACGGGCACAGATTCTGAAGAAGGCAGCGGATTATATTCAGTTCATGAGGAGGAAAAACCACAGTCACCAGCAAGATATAGATGACCTCAAGAAACAGAATAACATCCTTGAACAACAAAGTAAGTTGATTAAAAATGTTACAATGTTTGCTTGACAGCAGGAATTTGGGGATCCATTAGAAGTGTTCACTAATTAAACAGACACAGCTAAAGACACAGACAGTTTAAATCCCCTTATGGTTCAATGTCCTGTAGTGGTTAGAGCGTCCGCCCCCGAGAGCAGAAGGCCGCGTCATACCAAAAGACCGTCAAATATGGAACTTGTTGATCCCTGCCTGGCGCTCGGCATTAATGGGTACAACAACCACTGGTCAGCTCGGAGTCAGTATATGTGTCTGAGTGGTGTATTCATGCTAAACTGCAGTGAGCTAACACTATAAAACCAGCTTAAGTCTGGGCTAGTACAAGCAGCCACACATGCACATGCATGCACATACGTCATCATATGATTGAAATATTCTTAAGTATGACGTTAAACCCCATTGTTTTCTGACTTCACTAATTATGTGTTGTCATGTCCTGATGGCTTCAGAGATGCTCAATAATACTGACTCGAGCTTCCTACTTTGTCTTTTTACTCTAAAGGTAGCTGTCAGGATCCGGGTTAGAATTGATCTTCAGTAACACATGCTTGTCATAAGAGGAGACTAATAGGATCGGGTGGTCAGACTCGCTGACTTGGAAGGGCGGTGGGGTAGCCTAGTGGTTAAAGCATTCGCTCGTCACGCCAAAGGCCCGGGTTCGATTCCCCACATGGGTACAACTTGTGAAGCCCATTTCTGCAGTCCCCCGCCGTGATATTGCTGGAATATTGCTAAAAACGACGTAAAACCATACTCAGCCAGTCGCTGACTTTGTTCACACGTCATTGTATCCCATTTGCATAGATTGATGTTCATGCTGTTCAGCTACAAACAGTGTCTCATGTTGCTACTTTTACGTTTCAGTTCGATCTCTAGAAAAAGCTAAATCCACAGGAGCATTTGCCTCACAGACTGGGGTCAATCTACGTGGAGGACAGATGCCATTTGATGGTGGCTCAGAATCGGAAAGTTCCGATGTAGAGGACAAATCAGCTGGGAGTAGACGTAAGAAATTAAAGACAGCACCCAGCTGAGGGACATCTGTCACATGACGTAAGGCAGCAAATCATTGCTCGGGATTTTATCCTTCACATGTTCGTGCAGATCAACTCTATGACATCTGATTCATGCAGTATGCGGCGAAATGGACTTGGATCGCTGCAGGGATTTAGATGTGTGTAGGGTTGATGCTCATTATCATTTAACTGTTCAGCTTCATGCCAACTAGGACATGTACTTGCCAGAGGAATGGTTTCCGTACCAGAGGAGACGGATAGTAACTTCAGCATTCAAGGAGGACAGAATGCAGCAGCTTCTGTGGATTCAAATGGGCAAACTAAAGATCTCAATTTGGTCATTTTATGAAGTAATTCCATGAGTGTATTTTCTACATTTTGCAAGAAAGAGCAATATGGTGTTTGCATGTTATGTTTTTATCACTTGAAAATTATTCGGCTGTAAAAGTGTGTGAAAAATGTCACAGGAAACCTTTTTAATTCAAAGATTGTATGCCTCGAAAATCAAATTTAACATCAAACTGGACGATGTATTTCCCACCTCAACTGATGCACGTTAGTATTAAGGTTCTGTACCAGACGATGATAAGGTCTAGAATAATTTGACTTCATGCCCTCATCTGAAAAGGATTCAGATTGCTCAAATCCCATGTGAAATATATTTCTAGTTTGTATGCAATGTTAAAGGCTGAGAGTCGTATTTCAAGAAGATATTGTGTTCCTGATATTACTCCAATGTTGCTCAAACTGATCCCCGGGCGGTGGGGTAGCCTAGTGGTAAAAGCGTTCACTCGTCACGTCGAAGACCCAGGTTCGATTCCCTACATGGGTACAATGTGTAAAGCCCATTTTGGGTGTACCCCGCCATGATATTGCTGGAATATTGCTAATAGCAGCAAAAAACTAAACTCACCCAAACTGATCCCCCACCAGCTGTCAGGGTATAACAGACCTGTAGACAAGCAGTTACCATGTGTGCTTTGTTATCTACCACAGGGCTTAATGAATGCTTAGGATACAGGTTGCCTTTGTTTAGATAGCAAGGTTTTACATGTTTGTCAATCTGTTTTATTACTGGAATAAGATCTGTCAAAAGGAACTACAGGTAGACACTTCTAATGGCCTCTATCTTTATGATGTTATGAAGGATTTTACCATAAACAAATAAATGTTTCATATAAAGGCTGTGATATGCAGATAAGGAATGTATTTGAAATTACCTACCCAACTTTTGATGGGATATTCTGGGTGGTCTGTTTGATTTCTGGTGGAGATTGTTTGAAAATGTCATGCAAAAAGTATTTCATGTTACAGTGAAACGAAATCAGATTTGGCTTCACGTCAACCTAATTAAACAAAACCACATGACACAACAATATTTTGTCTAAAAGTTTCTAACAGGATGAAAAGATATCCAATATCCTTGTCACTTGAGTAGTACACAGGGGCTTGTAAGGTTAAAAACAGACATCAATGTATATACTGTCACAGATAGGGTCTTAGCAAGATATGAAACTTATGCCGAAGACACTGGGGGCTGTGGGGTAGCCTAGTGGTTAAAGCGTTCGCTCGTCACGCCGAAGACCTGGGTTCGATTACCTACATGGGTACAATGTGTGAAGGTCATTTCTGGTGTCCCCTGCTGTGATATTGCTGGAATATTGCTAAAACGACGTAAAACCATACTCACTCACTCACCTAAGACACTGTTAATGACAGTATTTACCTTGATGCCTGTTTGTTTTTGGCATTACAAGCCCCTGTAAGAGAAGTATGCAAAACAAGTATGAAATCATAAACAAAAGTTGTATTCTGTTGTATTCTAACTGTGTTGCAGACTAGAAATGTAACTGTATTGTACTAATGCTGAAACCAGACAGAAGCAAGACCAGTTGCTACCTTAGTTCTAATCAATGCAGAAAAGTAGATGGTATCCTTCACGATGTTGGCGTTGAGATACTACAGTGGTTTTAAAGCTCTAATGGAGTTTGTTATAGTTTAAGTTAACGGAGGATCAATACCTGAATTGTTATGTATGTGCTGTACCTATTGTACAAAAATGCAAAAACATTTTAAGTTGTAGAAATGACATGTATATTATACAAACAAAATTTTTAGTCACGGTGTATTTATTTCATTCCCACATAGGTCTACAGGTGTATGATAATACAGAATGGTATTGTATATGTTATCAGTATGATATTGTTTTGGATAACAGGATGGTATTGTATTGGATAACAGGATGGTAGCGCATATAAGACTTGTTGTTATCCTTCAACATGAATGATTAAAGGAATTTGTAAATGTTGCACTTTTTAAGCTCCTTGTAGAACGAACAATATTTGTTTAAAAATTGAGAAACATTTTGGGTTAGGTTAGACAGGAGGATTCAGGAACTGCATCTCTGTGTATTCATCTGATATGGTGCTGAGACTGTATCAGAGATATCATGTGTAAATAAACCCATCGTAGACACCCCTTGTTCATGTGGCTGTGCACATTATGTTTGACTCTCTCCATGGTGAACATGTACCCCCTCCGAAGACTGCTGCTACTGAACAACTGGACTGCTTGTGTCAGCTAACACCGCTGTGAGGATGTTATGTGGATATCAGATGGTCGGGATGTGATGTGGATAACGGGTCATTGTACTAAGTGGATATCGGTCCATGGTACCAAGTGAATAATTTGTCTGGATACCTTTCAGGTAACAGGTTATTGTTCAGTGATACATTTATCTCATGGGTAATAGGTCATGACACTCTGTGGATATCAGGTCATGACTCTCTGTGGATATCAGGTCATGACACTCTGTGGATATCAGGTCATGACACTCTGTGGATATCAGGTCATGACCCTGTATATCAGGTCATGACACTGTGGATATCAGGTCATAATCCCTTAAGGACATGGGTCATGACACTTTGTGGATATCAGGTCATGATCCCTTAGGGAAATGGGTCATGACACTTTGTGGATATCAGGTCATGATCCCTTAGGGAAATGGGTCATGACACTTTGTGGATATCAGGTCATGACACTTTGTGATAATGGGTCATGACACTTTGTGGATATCAGGTCATGATCCCTTAAGGAAATGGGTCATGACACTTTGTGGATATCAGGTCATGATCCCTCATGTGGATATCAGGTCATGATCCCTTAAGGAAATGAGTCATGACACTTTATGGATATCAGGTCATGATCCCTTAAGGAAATGAGTCATGACACTTTGTGGATATCAGGTCATGATCCCTTAAGGAAATGAGTCATGACACTTTATGGATATCAGGTCATGATCCCTTAAGGAAATGGGTCATGACACTTTATGGATATCAGGTCATGATCCCTTAAGGAAATGGGTCATGACACTTTATGGATATCAGGTCATGATCCCTTAAGGAAATGAGTCATGACACTTTGTGGATATCAGGTCATGATCCCTTAAGGAAATGAGTCATGACACTTTGTGGATATCAGGTCATGATCCCTTAAGGAAATGAGTCATGACACTTTATGGATATCAGGTCATGATCCCTTAAGGATGGATATCAGGTCATGATCCCTTAAGGATATGAGTCATGACACTTTATGGATAATGGGTCATGATATCACGTAGATGACAGGTTATGATACCTCATGGGTAAATGGTCACGATACAATGTATATTACAGGTCATGAGAACTTGGGGATATTTTGTCATGACACCTTGTGGATATTAAACTGGTCATGACTCGTGGATGAAAGATCATGATACAAATATTATACTGAGTTCAAAGTTTATATACAATTTAAAGATGTCTTGTTTTCTCCTGGAATATAAGATAGTTTGCCTCTCCTACATGATTTGACATGACCCCGCAAGTCCTAAAATCAGTTTTTCTAGTGTGAAGTCTTGAGGACCAATGTCTTGTATTCAGCTGGAAAATGTTTTTCTGACCATCAAATTCACAGTGTGTGTTTTAAGATTTTTCAAATTAAAATTTGTTGGTACTACTTAATTGAAAACCTATAATTTAGAAGTCAGCAAAGTGGCTTACCACAATTTCCAATCATTTAATTGTTATTTTGTTTCCCTCTCTGATGTACCGTATCTTACCATAGACATTTACCGTATACACATGACATTTCACCATGATCCTGAGAAAGTATCAGGCCCATATTCCACTAAATTAACCATGTTCATGATAAACGCCTCAGGTAGAAACTCTACAAGGTGCTCATTAAAACCATGCATGTTGAATGTGATGTCGGAGATCAAAGGGAAGTGGACAAAGGGAGGTTACCCACATGTTGACAACATTAGACCTGCTCATGCAAGAAAGATGAATGCCTGAAACATCCTGCATGTTCCATACAAGTCATTTCCAATTTTCTACCTTATCATCTGGTAGCCAACATGTTGGCTGATGACTGACCTCCATACAGTTTAATCTAAATCAAGGAGTGCATGTGTTGAGCGGCTTGTAGACCTGTTGTAGGCTGATAACCATCTTTGCTACTGCTCCACATCTGACAACATAGACTGTGTGTTGCTGCTCAAATCTAGTTTTCAAGTATTTTCTAGTAGCCTAGTGGTTAAAGCGTTCACTCATCACGCCGGAGACCATTTCCCATGTGGGTACTATGTGTGAAGCCCATCTAAATTCACAACATAAAATCAATCTTGAACTGGGGGGCTTAGAGGTCTCAGCTCTGCAATTACTGTCCAGATCTGGGCCTCGCGTCCATGTCATGATCAAGAGTTTGAACTCAGCCTCAACTATAGTCTGTTTGCAGTGAAAATGTACCAATAAATTTCACTTTAAACAAAAAAAGTATATCGAATAAAGTGAAATCAAGATTGAGAATCCTCATAATTTTACCTTGCCAATTGAACATTTAAATCTCAGAATTTTATTCAACTTAGGATAGAAGTTTTTTAACAAACGATCATTGTTTCAAATTGCTATTATTGGTTTGTATTACAAGGGGTTATGCACATTAAATGAAACACCGAGAGCAAGTAGGGTTGGTTTAAGTTAACGCCCATCACGTACCGCACGTGCATTTGTTTCATGGTTCCAACTACTGCGCTTACCCCCATGTAATACAAACCAATAATAGCGATTTGAATCAATGATCGTTTGTTGAACAACTTTTCTCCTAAGTTGAACAAAATTCTGAGATATAAATGTTCATTTGGCAAAGTAAAATTATAAGGATTTGCAATGTAAATTTCACTTTATTCGATTTACATTTTTGTTTAAAGTGGAATTCATCTGTACATTTTCACTGCAAACAGACTATAATGGATCAATGATCAGACTCGGGACTTGTTAGACATCTTGTAATTATACATCAATGGCACAGATCATCATCACTGGATATTTGGTCATATCATAACCATATCTGGTTGTATACTACTCAAAAGATGTTTAGGAACACCTGATTATTTCATATGACTATAGTTAATTTATGGGAAGTGGGTTGCCTTCTAATTGTGGGTGTTCTTAACCTGTTTTGAGCAGTATGTGCAGTGCCCTTATGTAGCTGTAATATTGCTGAGCAACGGCTAAACCATGGACAGGACCAGATGAAAATCAGTGTTTTCTGGCGGTATGAGCACTTTGTCTTTGTTGTCAGATACTGCAGAACCACAATGTTCCTCCAAGAGCTACAGGCGAGGTATCTAATGTGAAGCATTCATCATGAAGTCAATTGTCTTACCCTTGACAGCAGTGTGCTGTCCAATATACTGGTCTACCAATGAGATTGTCTTCATCATATATGTATATTGTAACCTGTAGACTAAAGTGTTGATTACTATACACTGGTTTTTGTCCTTTCTTCCACAGTGGGGGCGGTGGGGTAGTCTAGTGGTTGAAGCGTTGGCTCGTCACGCCGAAGACCCGGGTTCGTATCCCCACATGGATACAATGAGTGAAGCCCATTTCTGGTGTACCCCGCCGTGATATTGCTGGAATATTGCTAAAAGCGGCGTAAAACCAAACTCAGTCAGTCAGTCAGTCAGTCTTCCACAGTGGTCATTACCAAGGAAAGTGACTCGTTTATTAACCTGTCGCCCATCGTGATACAGCTGAAAGAAGATTCATGCCCTTCTTAGAGAGGCATTTAGAAGGTGGGACAGCAAGGAAGGATAACAATATATGGATAGACAACTTCTTTTCTTATTGTTCGAGCGACGTTTCAGTGTAGGTCCAAACACTGTTACCAAGCTACTTTCACCGAAATGTGAAATACTTCACTATAATAAAGAAGTTGTTTAATCCATATATTGTTATCCTTCCTTAGATTCATACCCCTTTAAGCCGAAAACAAATACACAGTCAGTCCTTGTAAATAAATTTCACAGCCAAAATGTGGTCTCTTCAGTAGTTTAATAAAAAACAATAATATAAGTCTTAGTGAAAATGGCGAGGATGATAAAATTTCCAGACAGAGGACCTATAATATACATTAGCGGATCCAGGGGGTGGGTGGTTCGAAAAAAAACCCCACCCCCTTAGAAAATGACTTAAGAGCACATTGAAGATTTGTTTTGCGTTAGCGGAGCCAATAGGGGGGTTAAGGGGGGTTACATACAGTGCAGTGTTAATTCCTAACTCATATGTCTTTGGCGTAGGATCAAAGGTGCTTTCACTTGTTGCATTCGACAGAAACAAATATTGCTGTGCTCTCTGATAATGGTGAACAATGAATCTTTCAGGACACTTCCACACAGTGCCTTTCAAGCACCTGTTCACATGAAGTGAATGCCTGTCATTTGGAATTTGGGTAACACAGGATATTGCTATCTTTATTTGCTCATGATCCTGGGCAAAGGAAGAGTGGTATGTTGTTACTTTCAGTAGTATAACACTGTTGTATATGAAGCACAGTTGCTTATTTCTGTTAGTATATATATTTCAGATGTGATTGGTAGGTTGGTTGGTTGGTTTGTTGTTTAATGCTGCACTCAGCAATATTCCAGCCATATGGTGGCGGTCTGTGTATAATCGAATGTGGACCAGACAATCCAGTGATCAGCATCATGAGCATCGATCTATGCAATTAGGATGCAATGACATCAAGATGTGAAAAAACACTAGCCTCATAAGCTATATTACAGGTATCTGGCATAGCATTTGCTGTTTGTAAAAAATCCAGTCTGGCCCAGAAAATCCAGTGACTGCCATGAGCACTGATTAATGAAATTAGATACCATGTGGCACCCGTGAAGGTCCAGGTTAGAATTGATCTTCAGTAACCCATGCTTGTCGTAAGAGGCGACTAACGGGATCGGGTGGTCAGGCTTGCTGACTTGGTTGACACGTCATCCAGCGTTTGAAACAATCGCCGGCCCGGAGGCCCAGCGTCGGTTGTTATTGTATCGGGACCGCAGTTTCAAATATTTGCAGGCCCTTATGGCCTTCAGTAAATTATCTGTCAATGTATTTTGTTTTTTCAATTGGAATCTTTCCCATATTGTTTTTCTTTATTAACGTTCGGGAATCATCCATGATCCATCATGTTACGATACTTGCAGTTTCACCTTCTGGTATTTCAGCGCTTTTGAGTGTAGGAATGTCAACACCAGTCTTTAACAAATAAATGCTTCTCTCAGCGCCATAGGCTTCGCTAAATGAATCAGTGTAGTCTATTTACTTTTTATTGGTTTGATTTTAACAAAATGGGCCTGCAGATTTCATTCAGGGCCTGTAGATTTTAAGGCCTTCAGGCGGTAGCAGGCCCTGATGGCCAACTGGCAGATTAAAGTATTGCAAACACTGACGTCATCCCAATTGTGTAGATCGATGCTGATCCTGTTTATCACTGGATTATCTGGTCCAGACTATTATTACAGGCCATATAGCTGGAATATTGCTGAGTGTGGCGTAAAACTAATCACACACACTCACTCCCTGAGCCTGACCACCAGATCCTAGTAGTCACTTCTTGTGACAAGCATGGGTTGCCAGTTACCAATTCTAACCAATATCTCTGCACCTAACACAGCACTAACAAAAATAACAAAACACAGTGATAGTAAATGGCACTTTACTTTCAGAAATGTTGATGATACTTCTGCAAGACAAGTGTGCTGTGAAATGAATCATCTGGCATACAAATATGACACAGTAACTTAAAGTAACATGACAGTATATACATCACATGTCAAGATATAATTTATATGTAACATCCATCTTACTGATACGCATGGTACAAAACTAGCAGACGACATCACATTGACACATACTTGACACCACAGTCTCCATGTCAGATCTGGCTCTCCATTACTGACTCGTAAGAAGCAACATATATGGTACAACATCTGAACCAAAAATATGGACAAAATTCTTCATTTTCACCTGTACTGATTTCCACAGATATATTGTAAACTGGTAGGGTATGTAACTCCCAATCCACTAAGAGGGGAGGTAATTCTTGAAATAACATAAGGGGACATAACTCTCAATACAGAGTAGGGCAGGTAATTCCAGAAACTATAAGGGGAGCTAATCCTGTCATTCTTCAGACGGCTGATATGTGACGTGGTAGCTTAGTTTGAATAAGAATAAACCTGAGGAAAAATATACTATGTCACATCAATATACTATGTTAAATGTGCAAATTGTAAATGTTTTGAGTTCAATGCCATTTTGAGCAGAAATTCATGGTATGCTAACAATAATATTGAAAGAAAGTGTAGCTAGTTGTTCCACTTCTATGAAACCCAAAAGCCTCGTACAGGAACGTGCAAACCATGGATCATAAGCAGTAGGCACCTGGGATTCAAACTCAAACATTTCTCATGGGGAAAATGATATATTATGTCGCCAACCCCAGTTATATATATTTCTCTTTCATGTAAAAGGAACTGACATTTTTGTCGCTATATCTGTAGGCACAGATTCTGATGTATCTACTTTAAGTCAATACATGTTAGTGGATTGCCCTTTTTTATCTTAATGTCTCCTCACAACAGAAATAAACGTTAATTTTTCGACCCTTTTCAGAAAAAAATAAAACTTTCATAAAAGAAATTTGAAAGCACCTGATCTTGCAACTTTCAAATCCAGACCATTCTACAAGATCAAATTTGCAGATTAATAAAACAACAACAGGCAATTGTAAAATGATTTGTTTCTATGTGTATGCAGACATATCCAACAAATGCCTGTAAGGTCGAGAACATACACTAACAAGGTTGAGCTAAATTGATATGTTGACAAATTGACTCAACAGTTCAGATGTATTTCATGCATTTCAAAAACTGTACAGCAAGTTCAGAATTTATAGAAGAACAATTATCACTGATATTGCCAAATGAATGATATGAGAGTATAATCTGAAACATTCAGTTTGAACATATCCCAGAGGACAATGTTTCAGATCACCCCTAGAGTAACTGACAGTGGTGTTAGTGTGAGGTTTAAAAGTTCAAATCTAACACAAGCGATTACTTTTCTGACCACCTGTTGCTTCAATACATGTTTTCTTTCATTCCATCAATGCAAAGAGATTCGGAACTCCAAGCTCGTTGAGGATGTGATAGTGTGTATGGCTGTAGTATATGGCATAGTACAGTGGAAGCTGTCTAAACCGGCACTCGTCAGGACTAAACAAGTAATCCGGTTTAGACAGCGTGCAGGGATTGTACAGATGACACAGTTACTTCCGACGAGAAGTGAACAAGTTTTGTCACTCTCATATACATTGTTGTATCACAATAAAACATGTCAACTCACCAGTTACATGTACATGTATACCCATGCTGAACTAAGATTAAATTATCTTTGTCGGCAACCATGTATTTCAACGCAGGATCAATTGGTGACAATACATTTCCAGCCGAATCCTCGCCACACGCCGGATTAGACAGCGCTGATTACAGTATCAACCCATATTGCGACTCATTTCATGCCGAGATCCGGAATTGACAGCTGCCGGATTGCAGAGCTTTTAAATGATGATAATTGAACTAGCCACGGACGGGACTGAGATTTTATGCCGATGTGGACAACTTCCCGGATTGGACAACTGCCGGTTTTGACAGCTTCCACTGTAATGATAAATTTTGCCACCTCGCAACTGTGATGACAGAAGGGAACGTCATCATATCTGCAGCCTGGCAATATTGCTCAAATCTCCACCAATTTACCATTTGAATTAAAAAAGAGAAATTTGTTAAACAATGAGTTTTCAATTCATGACCATCATTCTTATAGAAATAATACTTTGCCTTTGATCTTTCACAGCTATTGTACTGTTACATAAAATAGCTAAATTTTGATACATTTTAGCCAGGTGTTACACCCCCATATTTTGAAGATAGCATCCACAAGATATCCATCCACCTTGTCAACAAACCAATACACAGGTTTTGTATTCAATGATGTTAAACATATTCTGAACATGTCAGCAGACATGACCACTTAATACTATTAGTCACTTCTTAGGATAAACAGGAGTTGTTGAAGACCAGTTCTAACCTGGATCTTCACTGGATTTGCGAACAAGTATACCAACAGTACCGGCCCCAATAAACACCGATCTACATTGGTGGGATACAGTTTTAATGTTTTAGCATCGTAGATTTCCTCAGATAATATTCCAGTTGGGTCTTGCGCCACTTTTAGCAATATTCCAGCAATATCACGACGGGGGACACCAGAAATAAGCCTCACAAATTATACCCTACTAGGGAATCGACCCCGGGCCTTCGCTGTGACAAGCAAACGCTTTAACCACTAGGCTATCCCACCGACCCATGATGAAGTTGACAGACTCTTCATAATTACTCGTTTTAGCCGCAAAACAGTGTACGAAATACACAGCACCAAGCTAATATTTGGAGAAAACAAAGTTTGACACATCGAAGTGCGACACAACATTGTTTCACTCCATCTTTAGATTCGGAAGACATATATTGCCTACCAAATCTATGAAAACAGGGAGTGCATGTAAGGATACAAAACAAAATAACTTGATGACTCCTGGGCCTAGATTTTCGAAGCTCTCTTAGCACTAAGATAGTCGTAAGTGCCATACATTAACATTAACTTACGACTATCTTAGCGCAAAGAGAGCTTTGAAAATCTAGGCCCTACTCAATAAAACAAACACTTTCTGGTGTTGAAACAATGGTGTATCTGAAAATTCCCACTATGGCTGGAACATAACACTGTAAATACATGGTTAGACACAAAAGTCTAAAACAAACATCTGGAAAATGCATGGCACGTGATCAGTACAAGTGATCAAGTGCTTTTTTATATCAGACCACCACATTATTAATAATTATGCTCATTTATATCTTATAGTAATGAACAAAGTAAGTAAAACACTTATTCCCTGGTCAAGCCCATGTGAGTTATGAAAGAGTAGATGACAATTCCTCTTCAATAATGGAAATGAGAGTAAAAAGCTGTAGTTACCGTGGATAGCTTGAAACAAGCGGGAAGACATTAAATGATTTGCGTACTCCTCGGGGTATCCATATTTTTTTATGTGTTTCTCAGTCCAACCTCAACCAACAAGAGATTGACCAAAAATTAAAAAAATATATTAAAATGAAAAAAATAAAAATGTTTTTCACAAAATATCAAACATATTTTCAGCAATTGTAAAATTTAGATCAAACATCGGGGGTGAGTGAGCATGGTTTTACGCCACTTATAGCAATGTTCCAGCAATATCATGGCGGGGGACACCAGAAATGGGCTTCATACATTGTACCCAGGGGGAATCAAACCCGGGTCTTCGGTGTGACGAGCGAACGCTTTAACCACTAGGCTACCCCACCACCCCAGGGCAGGCAGGAGATAAGAAACACAGAAAAAAATATTGAAAAACATAAGCATGTTAGGGCACTGCTTGTTTCCTCGGATACTGGTATAAATGCTTGTACTACCTGTACTGCTACCAAGTCACCTACGCAACAGTGAGGGTTTGGGACAGTATATTGCATTTTTTAACTGCCATTATTTTATTTCCTTGTTTAAGGTTATGTTAGGAATTACTTTATCACAGTTTAGTAAACTCTTCTGCCATTGTAAAAAAGGGAACTATCCTGATCTTGTCAACCCCTATGTGGGAATCTGTCATACCAAATCATTTTAGCAAATCATGAGTGCTCTGCCCTTAGATGTAGTCGATAAATAGGGACTTTTGATGATATCAGTGTACAGCTAGAGCATTAAATTGGACTGGGATTTCCAAATAGAATGTATCAACATGTGCTTATAAGCTTAAGCAAAATATTTAATCGATTTGACACTGCAGAAAAGTGAGTGAGTGAGAGTTTAGTTTTATGCCGCTTTTAGCAATATTCCAGCAATAACATGGCGGAGGACACCAGAAATGAGCTTCACACATTGTACCCATGCAGGGAATCGAACCCGGGTCTTCGGCGTGACAGACAAATGCTTTAACCACTAGGCTACCCCACCACCCTTTTGCAGAAAAGACAAAAGTTCAACACTGAAATGGATATCTACGTTCCAGATACAGTAGTCTGTACGTTTCACTATCCGTACGAAAAACGGAAGTGTTCGGATTACCGTGGCCTGACTGTATATATTTCATGGCATCTAGTGTACAGACAAGTGTCATCATGAATACCACTAAACTGGCATCTTCCACAACATGGGGTTGGCACTCTCTATCCTATCACGCACACAAAAACGACCTGAACATCCCTGGCCTTTATGTAGATATACACATAAAACACTCTTCCCTTACTGGTAAATAATTGGTTGCTAGCCCATGTTAGGACCATGTTTATAGATCTATGCTGGAAACCATAAAAAACATTGACGAAATCTTGACAAACATTCAGTGCTAGTGAAATCTGGTTATCACTTGGTTGACCGCGATGTGTGATGTAGTTGTCTCAATAAACAATACTGACAGTCCTGCCTCTCATGAGAAAAGAATGTTGGAGAAACGGTAGGTTACTTCTCTTCGTGTTTCCCCGACGTTCCCGGAACTGGCAGTGAGTTAAAATGTTCATTGGCATGGATGACGGCATCAATACCGATGTTGTACACAGGATGCACAGATTTCTGAAAAATAAACAGAATGACTTCAACTTGTAACTTCATTCAAAAAGTAGGGATCGAAGTGTATATGTTGTGAGGTTCCCTTGACACACTGATAAAGATTTTAAAGTTATGGCTACCTTGAAACTAGCTCATATTCTGCCCTTAACATGTATAAACCTGTATTACAGACAAACCCAGTTGTATGACAATTAAAAGGACATTTGTAAGTACTTTGAGTTTGCACAACCCTGAAATGAGACTAAATAGGGAATACACAGCTTTAACTTCAACACAAAATCTAACACATCAAAGTTCAACACAACAGCACCCGTGAAGGTCCGGGTTAGAATTGATCTTCAGTAACCCATGCTTGTCGTAAGAGGCAACTAACAGGATTGGGTGGTCATTTAATCAGACACAACAAATGTTTTGAGTTTGTCCAACTGAATTGTATTTCAAGAATAACATACTATGTGCTGCACAACCCACTCTGTTACATTGATCAACCGGTATTTTTGCTTAGTGTATGGATAATCATTATATAGGAGTGTTAACACAAAAACATGCATGTTTCACGCAAATAAATCTACATTTCAAGCACAATATTTTCTACATGCGTGTTCTGCACGCAAAGCATTTTGTGTTCTTGGTAGTTACATTTCTAAATTACTTCCTTAATTCTCATGATACTGAAATATAACATCGTCCTTTTTGATATGGTGATGTTACAGAAACTTGGAATTCCCCAGGTTTATATGCACGTGCAAGATTCAAAGGGCTATGCGTTTTAGAAACGCAAAGCTTTTTTTCCTTCTGTGAACACTGTACAGTCAAACAATGTTGTGTTGAGTGAGTGAGATAGTTTAGTTTTACGCCGCACTCAGCAATATTCCAGCTATATGGCGGCGGTCTGTAAATAATCGAGTCTGGACCAGACAATCCAGTGATCAACAGCATGAGCATCAATCTTAGCAATTGGGAACCGATGACATGTGTCAACCAAGTCAGCGAGCCTGACCACCCATTCCCGTTAGTCGCCTTCATACGACAAGCATGGGTTACTGAAGATCAATTCTAACCCGGATCTTCACAGGTGATGGGCGTAGAACCAAAGGCTACTCATCAATGAGGACTACATGATTTAATTTCCACTTGTCCCCAGCACAGAAGTCTTGGGATAGCTGATTAGCATGAGTTTCAACGGTTGCACTTACTACTTCGTTCTTGGTGTTTCCGACAATATACGTGTCCGCCAGATGGCCCCCTGTGAAGTGTTGAGCGATGGAGAGACCGCTGAGACAGTAACACGTGTGATAAAAGTCTCGGGATCTGTGAACAGGACAACACACAACACATGCTTCAACAGAGTTATACAAAATATTGTAAGCATTCATTCTTGAAAGAGAAATTCGAGGATTGTTGTTTTTAAGTGTTTTGGGGCTGTTTAATGCCACACTCAGCAATATTGTAGCCTTATGGCAGCTGTCTGTAAACAGCTGAGTCTGGACCAGACAATCCAGTGATCAACATCGTGAGCATTGATCTCAGCAATTGGGATTTGTCAACCATTGTCATACCTTTATCAGACACAGAGTCAGGTTGTTTGTTTCTCTAGTGCTACAAGAGCACTGACAGTAGTGACTACTAGGGCTGCGCAATATAACCGGTTTACCGGTATTTACCGGTTCAGACCTGAAAACGATACGTATTGCGATACGCTGATCGAAAACCGGTATTTTGACTTGCATTCGGAAAACTTCGTAACACTCGGAAATCTTCGGATATGCCCTTGTTTCATTTGTGCCAAATATTATTCACATTTTTATTTATTTTATCATGATTAAAAGTTGTTATTAAAGCTTAATCAAGCCTAGTGATTTTGTTGTGTTTTTGCTCTAACAATCAAGAATTAACTTGATTATAAGTAGTTTTTTGTTTAAAAATACTTCATGCAATATATTGCAATACATATCGCAATACATGCTTTCGCATCGCAATATATCGCAATATGAAACTTCTCTGCAATACCCACCCCTAGTGACTACAGTAACCATTAGGGCTTCTACATTCACTCATGTATTAGGTGCATAGAACTCTTTCCCTTCATAAATTCAATTCGCGATTCACAATCACTTTTATTGAATATTCATGATTGTTTCAAAATAGACTGTTTTTATTTGAAGTTGGGTGTTATTTATCAAGGCATGGCAGGACAACAGTCAACACTGATATATTTTATTTGATGAGGTCACTCATGATATTTTAACTCTGTCGACATGGTTTATGTAGCAAATCAACTTATTTTTAGCTAATGAGATTTTGAATCAGCCTTTATCTAGTTATGACATAACAAACAATTACAGACTTTATATGAGGTCAAAATCTGTTTCAAGGGCCTGAAAGAAACACAAACATACCTAGAGCATACGTACAATGCATCAGAATAGTTATCTGTGTGTGCTATTTAACCCATCAGTCACGACCACTGTATACATGACCACTGATTCATTCCAGCCTCTGAAGTAACTATCTGAACATACATAGAGGATATTACATGAGTGCCCATGTCATACTATGTTTACGACTCGCTCTCGCTCGGGAAATACCAACATTTAGGCACGAGTGTCCTAAACATAGTATGATATGGTCACGAATATAATATTCTGTTTATTACCGAAGTTGTCAAATTGAGGAAAATAACCCAAATCTACTTTCAAACATAGGCTGTCTGCTCGCCGTCGCTGCATGTAGGACGCAACGTCACAGAAGAAATGTGACGTCATAGCATTGTTCATGACGTCACGCCACCATGACAAAGTGATATTTTGCCCTAGGGCATCGTATGCAAAATATGAACCCCGATATGTTTGCCCTCGTAGGTAATAAACTACACTACACCATTCCAAACTTTACAGGACCGTCATATTACCAACAAGGGCCAGTAACATTTATTGATGATATCTACTTGACCCCAACTATTGTAAGTCAAGGTATAACCCTGTCAATAGTATAATAAACAGCAAAACACTGGCTACATGATAGCCTGGACATCAGTTATGAGTGAGTTTAGTTTTACGCCGCTTTTAGCAATATTCCAGCAATATCACGGCAGGGGACACCAGAAATGGGCTTCACACATTGTACCTATGTGGGGATTCGAACCCGGGTCTTCAGCGTGACGAGCGAACGCTTTAACCACTATGCTACCCCACCACCCCACATCAGTTGCGGGTAAAAGTATCCTGGATGCAGCATTTGAAATAATTGATGACCCGGAGGCCCAGTGCCAGTTGTTATTGTATCGGGTCAGCAGTTTCAAATATTTGCAGGCCCTTGTGACCTTCAGTAAAAAAAAAATTTCAACTGGAATCTTTCCCCTAATTTTTTTTTCAGCAACGTTTGGGGAATCATCCATGATCCATCCTGTTACGATAACTTACAGCTTCACTTCCTTGTATTTCAGCGCTTTATAGGAATGTCAACACCAGTCAACAAATAAAAATGAAGTGACTGAGATGATCAGGAGCTGTTTGACTGGGCATACTCACTGTAGTTTACTAGCTACTTGAATCTGATGTCATTCCACATTTACTGGGTTGTACTAGTTACAATGACAGAATTAAACAGCGTGAACCTGTGCACACTGGAGTCCAATTTGCTTTTATTGGTTTGACTTAAACAAAATGGACCTGCAGATTTCATTCAGGCCTGTAGATTTTAAAGCCTGAAGGTGATCACAGGCCCTGATGGGCAATTGGCAAATTAAAGCATTGCATACACTGCCTGGATGATCCATTACTTACTTGCCAGGTTTATCGATGAGACCTCCCCCAGGGTGTTGACAGCAGATCAGGATGTATTCCTGCAGCTTCTTGATGGAACATCCACCGGTGGGCACTGAGAGTCTGGTCATCTGGCAACAGGAACACAACCTTAACCAGTATTGTAACAGCTTGGATCAGTATTGTTAAAGATGGGATCAGTATTTCAACATCTTCAACCAGTACTTTTATAGATTGTACCATTATTTCAACATCTTAGCCCAGTATTCCAACAGCTTGGAACAGTACTACTAAAGCTTGGAGCAGTATTGTAAGTGAGGTTAAATGGTGTTTAACGTCGTACTTGAGAATATTTCGCTCATATGATGACGTGCATGCGTGTGTATGTGTGGCTGCTTGTACTAGCCCAGACTTAAGCTGGTTTTATAGTGCTAGCCCACTGAGATACCATGCTGCAGTGAAGCAGGAATACCCCACTCAGACACATTATACTGACTCCGAGTCAACCAGTCCTTGTTGTACCCATTAATGCCAAGCACCAGGCAGGGACCAACAAGTACCATATTTTAACGTCTGTTGGTACGACTCAGCTGGGATCGAACCCGCAACCTTCCGCTCTCGGCGGGCGCCCTAACCACTACACCACTGAGGCGGTGGAGCAGTATCTTAATAGCTTGGAGCAGTAACAACATGTTTTGCCAGTATTAAAGGGCTCAGGCCATAACAGTTTGGACCTATACTATAGTTATACTTTTATCAGAATCCAGCATGTCAACAGTTTTATGACATCCATGCTCATTTCTTGTGCTCAGAAGTCAAGCAACTTCATTGATATGAAATCTGGATCCAAACATCAAATCAGATCTTTGATGGTCATTTAGAAGTGGAAAGCATAAGAAATGCAGATTTATTGTGAATAACAAGACGTTTTGAAGCATATGCTGCTCTTTCGTCACCTGATGGAGCAAGCATATGCTCACCTGATGAAGGAGCAAGCATTTGCTCCGAAACGTTGTGTTATTCACAATAAAGAAGTTGACATCCATAAATCTTGCTTTTCATATCCTGGAAAGTCATACACAGACACTCACACACAAAATTTGACACATAACAAAGACACATAGCTAACACACAACACAGACACACTTTAGACACACAATGCACACACACACAGAGACTTTAGGTACATCATAGACACACACTTTAGACACAATGCACACACACAGAGACTTTAGGTACATCACAGACACACTTTAGACACACAATGCACACACACACACACACAGACTTTAGGTACATCACAGACACACACTTTAGACACACAATGCACACACAGACTTTAGGTACATCACAGACACACACTTTAGACACACAACACACAGTACATCACTTTAGACACTTTAGGTACATCTAACACACACAGACTTACAGTACATCTAAGTCACAGACACACAGTTCAGACACATCACAGACACACAGTTCAGACACATCACAGATGCACAGTTCAGACACATCACGGACAGAAAGTTCAGACACATCACAGACACAGTTTAGACACATCAGACACACAGTTTAGACACATCACAGATACACAGTTCAGACATCACAGACACTCAGTTCAGACACAACATGGACAGAAAGTTCAGACACATCACAGATACACAGTTCAGACACAACACAGACACATAGTTTAGACACATCACAGACACACAGTTCAGACACATACACACAGTTCAGACACAAAGTTCAGACACATCATGGACAGAAAGTTCAGACACATCACAGACACACAGTTAAGACACATCACAGACACAATTTAGACACATCACAAACACACACTTTAGACACATCACAGACACTTTAGACACATCACAGACACAGTTTAGACACATCACAGACACAGTTTAGACATTTTAACACACAATTTAGACACATCACAGACACACAGTTTAGACATTTTAACACACAGCTTAGACACATCACTGACACAATTTAGACACATCACAGACACACATCACAGACACACAGTTTAGACATTTTGCACACAATTTAGACACAACGCAACCATGCCCAAGATGAGGACACTATGTAGAAACACATTAAGATACTGTTATCTTCTGATGAAGACAGGTTACACAATACATCAAAAAGTCCCCAGTCTCCGAACCAGACTACTTGATGACTGTTGTCATGGTTACCTTGAGAGCACAGCACCATGTGAAGCAGGGGGAAGTTCCCTCCCTGCCAGAATGAATAGCACCCATCTACTAGTTTGTTGGTCCGGCCCTGGAACCCCCCTTCATATCGCATCTGACGATTTGCCGTCCACCTCTACAAACAAAACATTCAAGCAATGTAAACCTTTTCAGGCCTTCAGTTACAAACCATGATTATACAAAAATATTAACGTCAACAAAATCAAAACTAATGCTTTTCAGGTGCATGTTGACTTTGGAATTCATATAGTACGTATTATTATCTGAAGAGGGCATATTTATGAAAACATGCAACACATTTATGTCGTGGAAGTAAAACAGACAACTGCATATTACTGACACACAGCTCATCTCAAGACCTCTCTTACTACACAACAAACAGTGTTAGAAACTACTTTTACAGCTCATTGGTCCCCCCCTCACCAGTAACTTTTCTTATCAGCCTTTCCTAACAAGTATCAGCTGGCCCTGTCCATATTCATAACTTCATAACAATAAAACAGATCTTAATGCGACTTATACAAACTGTATTCAAAGGCAACTGATAACATACATACATACAAATATTTATATAGCGCTAGTTTCTGGCATGTGCCACTCAAAAGCGCTGGAAATGAGTCTGGAAAGACATTGGTCAAGTATTTTTCCTTAATGCACAATGTTCCTTTTTCTTACAAATTATAACCTCAATAAAATGTTTCAAAAAATTATAACTTCTTAGGATTTATTTTTTTTTCAACTTTTCTACTGAAATATTGACGGTTCAAAGGTCCTGGGAGTTCTCTAAAATGCTGGGCCTAGATTTTCAAAACTCTCTTAGCATTAAGATAGTCATAAAAGCCATACATTAACATTAACTTACAACTTTCTTAGCACTAAGAGAGCCTAAAAAATCTAGGCCCATAATGAAATTCACTGCCCTCGGGTCTCTGGAAAAGCAGCAATTTTTAACACTGACCACAAACCTCATACTTTTTATCTCTGTCATTAAGGACATAGAGCAAGGGAAGGCTGGTTAATTCATGCACCAGCTAGGAGATCTCAGAGTTATTCCTAAAGGCACTCTCCTTTACTCAACAAGTAGACATTCCTGACAGAAAGTGTAACCAAGGTGACATGGAGTGTATAGGGTTTGGAAGTTGATAATTCTGCCCTGAGTTGAAAAACAAATACAAACTGTGGAATTAACTTTTATCGGAAGAAATGGTTATTACCTATGTGGTTATTATTCATGACATATTGGTTACACAAACATAAGATCAGTAACTAAGTTATGTCATACAATTCTTGTGCACCAAAAGGGCAAACCAAATCTTTTGTACAAAATAAGAACCTCTTTATAAAACATTTGAAATGTGACACCTCTTTATAAAACATTTGAAATGTGACACCTCTTTATAAAACATTTGAAATGTGACACTGCCTTTCAACATCAGAAAACAAGGAAATGAAATGTGTCTTGAGTAATTCTATGCTCACCAGAACCTGTTTGATGTTACAGTACTGAATACCGTTGAGTAGGACTAGGGTAGCCAGCCCGCAGAAGGAGTAGCCACCATGGGCTTCTTGCCCAGGGTAGCCTGCAAACCCTCCCTCGTATGTCTGACAGCTGGAAACAGAAGTGGCAGTGGTACATACATGTTTCAAGAATAGTTTTCTGAGTTGTATCATGAGAATCCTGTAAGGAATCCCCAAACAGAGCATTCTTTCAGGTAATCTCCAAACAGAGCATTCTTTCAGGTAATCTCCAAACAGAGCATTCTGTCTTGTAATCCCCAAACAGAGCATTCTTTCAGGTAATCACCAAACAGATTTTTGTTAGTTTCTTTGTTGCTGAACACCACAATCAGCAATATACCACCAAACAGAGCATATGATGGCAGCATCTCAAGTAATCTCCAGACAGATATAACATCACTTTTAGAACTTTCTACAATAAAACATACAAGACAGCATCATGAAAAGCATGACATGCAGAACAATTTTAACAATTATTCATCAGGTCAGCAATCTGTCATCGAGGTCAGTTAGTTTCTTTGTTGCTGAACACCACAATCCACTTCTGATGACAAGCCAGGGCAGCCTGTAAATATATATCAAGAACAGACCAATGATTGACATCATGAGCATCAATCATCCAAGCAGTGCTGAGTCAGCAATACTGTCACCACAGGTCTGGCATCATCTCAAGTCTGAACTGATGTTCCAGGTGAGACTGCTGAGTCAACCAATACTGTCACTAATCATCTCATGATGCTGTTCCAGGAACTGACCCTACCTTATGTCACTAATAGGTTAAAACAAAGAACCTGACATTTTACACAAGAAAAAGCATTGATTCCATTGGATTAGTTGGTTGTTTAACATTGCACTCAGTAATATTCCAGCTATATGGCAGCAGTTTCTAAATACTTGAGTCTGGACCAGACAATCCAGTGATCAACAGCATGAGCATCAATCTACACAATTGCGATACAGTTGTCAACCACATCATCAAAGCTCTTACCAAGAAAAAAGCAATACCTTATGAATGTAGGAAAGGATTAATGGGACTACCTCTGTCCCTGTCCACTACCTATTTTGTGTAAGCACATGGGTTCATAGATTCACCTAAGTGGTTCATGTCGACAACCTTTATTCCTTTAAAATAAGTTGGCATGCTTTGGAATGAGTGAATTTCTATTGAAACTGAATACTCCACAATCACATAATGTTTTCAGTAAACCTCCAGGAACTATCGACAATGGCACTGACCTTGCAATCCATAACGATGTGTCTTTAAATAGCTCCTTCGTGGCTATATTTGTCAGTCTCGCTGCGGAGGCTGCACAGTAGGCTCCCCTGAAAACAATCACCGCTTATATGTCAGACCTATGGTTGCCATGGTTATATAGTGTAATGTTATCTAAGAGTGGTGTAGTGGATACAGCGTCTACCCGAAGACAAAGAAGGTCATTGGATGATACCTGACCACATGATACCATAGACATAATACATAGTGCTAGTCCTAACTAGGGCTGTAAAGATGCAACTATCGATGCATTGCAATTGTTGAGTCTCTGATAGCAATAGACCGATCCAGTCTGTCAATCAAAACTGGCGCATGCGTCAATTTTGGCCAATCAGCAGGCCGGGGGCACTGTGTGGATTTGTCAGACTTATTTCCGGGGTCAAACGATGCATCCGAAGCGATGTGCTTCGAATTATGCCATTTACACTCGCTATATTTATTACATATTGCTGCGATTGGATGTGTACCTTAACAAAACCATTACGGTCAAGACAACAAAAATGGAGGCGGATCAAGAAACGCGATAGGCCTCTCGATCAGTTAAATGTCTGCACCATCGTTCAGGAAACCTACGTCTGCCTGCTGATGAGAATTTGCACAATTTTGCACACTTTTGCACATGTGCAAAATCATTACCAATTGATGACAACAAATAGCAGTTTAAGACTTTGCAAAGTATTTACAAACACTGACAATTCTTGTAACTACAAAATTGTTTTTGCTTAACGTTTTTAGTCACTACTAGGCATTGAGTTGGTACGCCACAAAGCTCAAAAAGAGACAGGCTGAGAAAGCCGTGACACAATGTAAACAAATCTTCATTTCGGTTAGGGTCAACCGAAATAGCAAAACATGTTACATGAAAGAACAATGTGGCGGATATTGTCCCCTTCGCTTCTTAGATATTCTTCAATTTGTCACACATTTTAGGATGTTTTAAGTTTCATAAGCACAGTCTGAAGGCCTACAGTATCTTGTTAACAGAGCAAAATATTTGAGGAGTAATATATATCAAGAACAGACCAATGATTGACATCATGAGCATCAATCATCCAAGTCAGTAAGTCTGACCAGCTGATCCTGTCAGCCACTTCTGATGACAAGCCAGGGTTGTTGATCATCAAGTCTTCAACCAGATTTCGGAGGTGAGAGCATGCTGAGTCAGCAATACTGTCACTACAGGTCTGGCATCATCTCAGACTGACTGCTGTTCCAGGAACTGCGTTTGCCATCCAATTAATGACATATGTTCGGAGAACTGACCCTACCTTATGTCACTAATAGGTTAAAACAAAGAACCTGACATTTTACACAAGAAAAAGCATTGATTCCATTGGATTAGTTGGTTGTTTAACATTGCACTCAGTAATATTCCAGCTATATGGCAGCAGTTTCTAAATACTTGAGTCTGGACCAGACAATCCAGTGATCAACAGCATGAGCATCAATCTACACAATTGCGATACAGTTGTCAACCACATCATCAAAGCTCTTACCAAGAAAAAAGCAATACCTTATGAATGTAGGAAAGGATTAATGGGACTACCTCTGTCCCTGTCCACTACCTATTTTGTGTAAGCACATGGGTTCATAGATTCACCTAAGTGGTTCATGTCGACAACCTTTATTCCTTTAAAATAAGTTGGCATGCTTTGGAATGAGTGAATTTCTATTGAAACTGAATACTCCACAATCACATAATGTTTTCAGTAAACCTCCAGGAACTATCGACAATGGCACTGACCTTGCAATCCATAACGATGTGTCTTTAAATAGCTCCTTCGTGGCTATATTTGTCAGTCTCGCTGCGGAGGCTGCACAGTAGGCTCCCCTGAAAACAATCACCGCTTCTATGTCAGACCTATGGTTGCCATGGTTATATAGTGTAATGTTATCTAAGAGTGGTGTAGTGGATACAGCGTCTACCTGAAGACAAAGAAGGTCATTGGATGATACCTGACCACATGATACCATAGACATAATACATAGTGCTAGTTCTAACTAGTGCCGTAAAGATGCAACTATCGATGCATTGCAATTGTTGAGTCTCTGATAGCAATTAAAAAGGATTGTAGAAACGAAAAAATATTGATGCGTCGATAGTATGTGTGACTATCGATGGTCATTTTAATTGACTTCCTTGATAAATGTGCAGTGCAAAATACAGGAAGTACCAGATTCGTTCACTTTGATTTAGAGTTATCCGCCCCTGTTACCTCTTAAACAAACTTGAATTGGGTTTCAAGTTTCGTTTCTACTTTCTTGTCAGTTATTAAAAGAGACTGAAACTACTTCAGCTTGTTTTTATGTCATATAAACTATACATTCATTTGGGAATTACTTCAAATGAGACAAGTCAAGGAGTAAAAAACCCTACTGCAATAGTATTGCAATAGTTGGTCGCAGTAGACTATCACTATCACAATACTATGTTGCAAATGACTATCGCTATAGCAATAGTTGTTTCCCCCTCAATAGTCACCCCTAGTTCTAACACTGTCTGTCGCTCAGCATTCAGTGGACGAAACAAGTACAAGTGGACTTTGAGTCAGCATATATTTGAGTGGCTATCCATGTAAAACTGCAGCATGGAATCTCAGAAGGCTAGCAATATAAAACCAAGACTAGTCTGGACCAATATTAGCTTGCCAGCACCAAACATTCAAACAACACGCCTCTTGCTATGACGCGCGATCGGGGATCAAACCACCAAATCTCCATGGAAACACACTATCCCTATGTTTAATGAGGCAGTCTCGCACACATAGGTCCTACTGAGCCAGTTACAGTCACATGGTAGTCTTGGTTTGTTTGTTCTTTAACGCCCCACTCAGCAATAAATAAACGAGTCTGTAAACAAGCATTGTCACTAAGGTGACATAATCCCCCGCTGTAAAATTATCAAATCAAACTTATAAAGTAATGAAAGTTTAAGTTAAATGTCAACAAAAACATGACCAGTCAACCTCTCTTGATGTCTTGCTCTTTAGGTGTTCAAACACACACATATTTTCAAGACTGACTTTGACATGAATGTCATAGTGTATGAAATATGCAAAAATAGTACTAAAGAAATTGCTTTTGGAAAAACATTTAAGATAAGTCTTGAAAGTCTTTAAAGAAGATCCAGTGAACTGTTTTTGAAATATCTTGCTGACAATTCAGGTTAACATGCTCAAATTTTCAAAGTGTCTCTGTGACCTTGAAAATTAAGTGAAGGTCACCAAAATCAACTGGGCCCTGCGCCTTCCCTAGATAAAGCTTTGTATTGAATATGAAGAAAATCTAGTGAACGGTTCTTGAGATAGCTTAACATGCAGGTTTACATGATGAAATCTTCAAAGTGTCGTCATGACCTTGAAAATTATGTGAAGGTCACCAAAATCGACTGGGCCCTGCGCCTTCCCTAGATAAAGCTTTGTATTGAATATGAAGAAAATCCAGTGAACGGTTCTTGAGATAGCTTAACATGCAGGTAAAACGTTAAAGTCCCCTTGTGACCTTGAAATTAAGGTCAAGGTCACCAAACCTGACTTGGACCTTTCTTATACTGTGATGAACCTAGGTACCAATTATGAAAAGAATCTAGAGAACGGTTCTTAAGATATTCCAATTTGTACGGACGTACGGACGCACGTAGCCTAATACTATATCCCCCGCTTCGCGCTGAACCTGATAATTCAAGTCTGAACCTGATAATCCCGTGATCAACAGCATGAGCATCCAGCTACACAATTGGGATATGAATTGAAACAGATTTTTAGTGCTTGTGAATGTAAATACTTAGGAATGACATATTACATAAAATAGTCATTAGTTGAAATATGGCTAGGAAAGAGAAAGTGAGTGAGTTAGTTTTACGCCGCACTCAGCAATATTCCAGCTACTAGTATATGGCGGTCTGTAAATAATCGAGTCTTGACCAGACAAACCAGTGATCAACAGCAAGAGCATTGATCTACGCAATTGGGTTACGATAACATGTGTGAACCAACTCAACAAGTCTGACCACCCGATCCTGTTAGTCGCCTCTTGCGACAAGCATGGGTTGCTGAAGACCAATTCTAACCCAGATCTTCAAAGGTTGGGTATTCTTTAATGCAGTTTGTCCCAGTTACCTGATGTCTACTTCTCCACCATCGTGCATCTTGAACGAACCATCGGGCATCCGCATCCTCATTAAAAATTTGTATAATGTCTCCCTGAAATACAAAAGGTGTTATTTTACTAAGATGTACTACAAATGGTTTGAATTTTTTCATTTTCTAAATTTGTAGACAATCAGAAAATATTTTATAAATATTATTCAGAAACAAAATTCACACAGAAACTATTTTCAACTATTTGAGAACAATATGGCGGTAATGAAACAGTCTACAAAAAATTTAATACTAAACACAAAACTAAGGTCACACAAGAAAACAGAGGCAGATTATGGATATTTTGGTGCACATAGTACCAAAATCCCAGTCAAATGTCAGTAAAAAGGGAGTGAGCGCCTTTCCCTCCCATGGAACTGCCAGTGGGATACAATTATTTCAATTTTTCATCCAAATGATTTCAATTCCACCAAACTGACCAGGCTGAATATTTGTCAGAAAAGTTCTCCTGACTCTCCTCTGAATATATATAGCAGCACTTGTGTGACACATGACCTCAGGATACCATAGTGCAGGGCTCGATTTAGTGCTTTATTACTTGCACTGGTGCAACCCAATACTATATAGTGCAACCTAGTTATTAATCGAACTTAAGTATAATTGAAAAAATTAAGTCAATTTTTGAGTGGGTAAACTTCTAAATAAAACATCTGAATAATTCAACAGCATATTTCTTTCATTACATATTGCAATAAAAGCAGTGCAACTGAAATCTGACTGGTGCAACTATGTTTTAATCTTAGGTTGCACCTGGTGCAAGTAGGTTAACATCTCTTAAATCGAGCCCTGAAGTGGTGTCATGGCACAAATTACCTGGATGCATATATATAAACTTCAGTGAATTGTCTTAGTTCTTGTGAAGACAAGAATCTCCGATACTGCTGTGAATATTTGTTCAATTATACTACATCACATCAACAGATCTTGGAGTCAAGTCTTAACTGATGCCGGTCAAAGATATTTACTGCTTTGGTGAAACACACAAGTGAACCTAGAAACATAATCCAAGCGACATCAGATTTTAGCAGCAGATCCTGGCATAAGTTAGGACTGCAACTTTGAACAGCAAATTGCCAGCCTTGGACCTATATGGTACCTGTGCCCTCTACACTGTTTGATGCTTCACTGCGGCATGCTATCTCAGTGGGCTAGCACTATAAAACCAGCTTCAGTCTGGGCTAGTACAAGCAGCTGCACATACACATACACACGCATGCACGTCGTCATATGAGCGAAATATTCTCAAGTACGACGTTAAACCCAATTTCACCTCACCTCACCTCTTCACTGTTTGAAGTAATCAGTGCATTAGTTACCTGTTGATTGCCTTGTAAGCCTCGTCAGTGACTGGTGCGAGGATGCAGAGAGCGTTGACAGCAGCATACGTTGGAGCCAGGTGAGCATTCTGTCCTGGGCCACCTGCACAAACATCCACATCCAGTTACTATTAGAACAAACTTATCAGGAACTACTTTCCTACTGCTAGTGGGTTGAATATCAAATACCCCAAATTATCTCCCTTAGACATACTTCCTGTTTTCATTTCACTTTTCAGTTATTGTCTGCATTTGGGAGGTAAGTTACCGTCATCAGTTCTTTCAGGATTGGGATGTTATTATGAATATATCTTGTCTAAATTTTATGTATAAGGCAGTTACTAATATGTTATATATGTGTGTGATTGTTGTAACACTAAAGTATATATGGATCAGACAATCTAGTGATCTACACTGCGAGCAGCAGTCCACACTGTTAGTGACTTTAGTTTTACGCTACTTTTAGAAATATTCCAGCAATATCACAGCGGGGGACACCAGAAATGGGCTTCACACATTGTATCCCTGTGGGGAATAGAAATCAGGCAGGCGCGTAGCAAGCCATGTTTTTCGTGCAAGCCTGCTAGGTTGCAAAGCTTTATATTTAGACAGTATTCAGAGCTTGCCCAACCATTTTATCAACCATTATGTGTAAGCCCGGACTTTTTTAATGATGGTTGCTACGCTCCTGTCAGGTCTTCGGCATGACAGGCAAATGTTTTAACCACTACTCCACCAACCCTCCACACTGTTAAGTGTTAACAGGGGCATTTGTGTAAGTTGGTAAATTGTATAATCCTGATGTCCACCCAGATCGACAGACTCACCTGCATACCCGCCTGTTGGGGACTGACACCGCTTCAAGAAGTCAACAACTCTGCACAGATACACACTGATGTTAATGGGGATCCCAGGAAAACAGAACACTTCACTTATTAAACACAACAAGTTTAAAAAACGACTACATATTGTTGACAATGCTTCAGTGGGCATCTGTATCCACAAGTGCATGAGCAACATATCACTTCATCAAAAAACCATGAAGAAAAGCGTCAGGAAGATTATAATATATCATCAAAAGTTTTCAAATGTGAAATTAGGACCTGAAAGATGACCTTACTGTATTGGTCATAATCAGCAGCAAGAGTGATTAGAAAATTGTTGGGTTTTTTGTGATGATGAATTTATTTAAAACCAAACAAGCTAGTAGTGGTAGTGAACTAATTTAGTTCTGGTGTTGATGAAACTAGAACATTTTCAACAATACATGTGGTTACTTCGTAGTCTATAACTGAAAACTCCTACCTTTGTTTGGGTGCTTGGAAAGTGAGCTAACTAACTGGTGCGGAAGTTGGTAAGGTTTGGAGGTTGTTAGGGCAGTGTTAATCATTGGAGAGCTGCTGTAATTGTATTAGACTGTTTCTGTTAAGATTCAGTAGAGGGCAGGGGTGTGGTAGTTGCAATATCTAGACTGGAAGTTTCTAGGGATGCCAATGGATATCCGAACATAGTCTAACGTAGCATGTTCTGTCATTTATACTACAATACTTTTCACCCTGGATTCCCAACCCAGGCCCATGTTGGAAGCTTGACAACGGCAGCAGCTAGTGACCCTTAGAAACATTCTCATATCGCTTTAATCATGGCTTGGACTAGGAGCGTTCGAAATACCTGCCTGCCCCACCGCCCGGGACGGGTTATTTTCAACATGGACTGCTAGATTCTCAAATTCACCTGCCCGACGGTCAGGTTAAAATTTAGACATGTATGAAGATATTTTGTGGGCAGGTAACTTTTGGTCAGGGCTGCCAAGTTTTACATCTAACCAGCCCTGTGGTCAGGCTGAAATTTCTGGGAGTTTCATACCAATGTCTCTATTGCTTACCATGACTTGGAGCCTGTATCTGTAATGACTCTTTAATTCAAACTTGCTTTAACAGAATACCTGGGTCAGTGGACAATGTTCAAGTACCAGCTATGGACAAACTAGTTTGACCTGTAAATATTACTGTACACAGGCAATGGTCATTTTTAGAATCCTAAAACCAGTTCATCACTCACTGCAAAGCTATATCCTCTGGAACAGGATCGTTGAGGATTTCTAGACTGTGCAGGATCCAGTAACACAACCACGGCCGACTCGCATCTAAACACTGTCAAACACAAGACAAGCAACATCATGTAGTTCCATACCTTCATAAATGTAATCATCGTAATATCTGTGCACTCGGGGCTTAACATTGGACTCAAATATACTCATGGAAGCGAATAAGGGAACACATGAAAGTACAGGTGTTCTTTTATTTATTTCCAGAATTTCACCCACACTGCAATACATACCTTGTGAAGAAACCTGGAAAAGAGTAAAGGAACACTTGATCGGGAATACTTTCATGTGTTCCCTTATTTGTTACCATGAGTATATATTCAAGCTCTATAATGTGACCTGTAAACTGGTGATTGACATTAAGAGCAACAGCGTCAGGGTTTGATGACACACCAACAGCAGCATCACCCACCTCCACCTAATACCAGCATAGGTTGCTATGGGCCTATTCTAACCAAAATTTCAATGGAATGATATGTTAACAATCTAAACATATACAGTATGTAAGTTCAATCCTTACTTCAGACATCTTGAAATTAGCATCTTAGTTTACTACATTTAGTCGTACAATCATAACATGTACAACATGTGCTCATAAAATAAAAAAGCATCTTGCTCATAAAATCATCAAACATCTATTATGTGTAGATAAGTATGGTCTCTGCTGTAGTGAGGTGAGGTGAAATTGGGTTTTACTTCGTGCTTGAGAATATTTCGCTCATATGACGACGTGCATGCGTGTGTATGTGCTTGTGCGGCAGCTTGTACTAGCCCAGACTTAAGCTGGCTTTATAGTGCTAGCCCACTGAGATACCATGCCGCAGAGAAGCAGGAATACCCCACTCAGACACATTATACTGACTCCCGGGCCGACCTGTCCTCGTTGTACCCATTAATGCCGAGCGCCAGGCAGAGACCAACAAGTACCATATTTTAACGTCTTTTGGTATGACGCGGTCGGGGATCGAACCCTCGACCTTCTGCTCTCCGGGCGGACGCTCTAACCACTACACCACGGAGGCGGTTTCTCTGCTGTAGTACATCACTCTTGCATGATAATGGTATAACAATCTATACCAAAACCTTGCATCATAACATAATACGTAAGTCTTCATCCATAAAGTATCTTGCCTTTATCCTTAGTGTAAAGGATTTCTTGAATGAGTGAGTGAGTTTAGTTTTACGCGCCGCACTCAGCAATATTCCTGCTATATGACGGCGGTCTGTAAATAATCGAGTCTGGACCAGACCATCCAGTGATCAACAGCATGAGCATCGATCTGTGCAATTGGGAACCAATGACATGTGTCAACCAAGTCAGCGAGCCTGACCACCCGATCCCGTTTGTTGCCTTTTATGACAAGCATGGGTTACTGAAGGTTCATTCTAACACAGACCTTCACGGGTTAAAGGATTTCTTGACAACTATAGGTTCATTATCTATATGTTATAAATACCAACAAAACAACTAAAGCACACCTCATATGACGATGACAAATTCTTCAAGCCCTTCCACAAAAATATCCTGTGGGAGTTCCTGTCCAACTCTGGAATGCTGCAAGACATGGAATTGACACAGATTTGTAGAGATTATTAGTGCTTGTGAATGTAAATACTTAGGAATGACATATTACATAAAATAGTCATTAGTTGAAATGTGGCTAGGAAAGAGAAAGTGAGCAAGTTTAGTATTACGCCGCACTCAGCAATATTCCAGCTATATGACGGCGGTCTGTAAATAATCGAGTCTGGACCAGACAATCCTGTGATCAACAGCAAGAGCATTGATCTACGCAATTGGGAACCGACGACATGTGTCAACCAAGTCAGTGAGTCTGACCACCCGATCCCGTTAGTCGCCTCTTACGACAAGCATGGGTTACTGAAGATCAATTCTAACCGGGATCTTCACGGCTAGGAAAGAGAAAGAATTATCAAGAAAGTGATGATGATATTCTGAATTAGTTCATGTCATGACTGACTTTTCGTTCTTTATTCAGGTAGCCTCCTGGCAATACCAATCACAAGAATACACTGCACAGCTATTATAAGAACTGACCCCAATATTAGAGCTGAGGCGTTATATCGTAGCATCGATAATCGTTATACTTTATCTGACAAAACATAGATCGATACTTTTGTTTATATAGTGATATGTATCGTTGACCTAAAAATTGTTAATGTTCACTAGAAATTGACAGTAATGTAAAACTGTACATTGTTACTTGCTATCAAAATATGCTTTTTAAAAGAAAATAACTAAATATAGCATATAGTGATATGCATCAAATCGAAATGAATCGTTCCAAGATATCACGACACATATCGTATCGTGACATTTCCGTATCATCACACCTCTACCCAATATATCTCCTGTTGATGAACGAATAATCCTGGGTTTTATTTACATTTATAGCTCCTTTAACTGACTGACTGAGTTTGGTTTTATGCCGCTTTTAGCAATATTCCAGCTACATCACGTCGGGGAACACCAGAAATGGGCTTCACACATTGTACCCATGTGGGGATTTGAACCCAGGTCTTCGGCGTGACGACCCAACGCTATAACCACTAGACTACCCCACAGCCCCTATAGCTCCTTTAACACAACATAAGAAGGTATGTTCAAAAGTTAGGCTTCTATTAATAAATAATACGCTTATGCTGAACTTGTTAAGCATATGTCTCTAATGAGGTAGTTGTCGATAAATTCATCTAACAAAATGTCAGACAAGCATAAGGCACTGGGGATCTATTCTCTCCTAGAATCTCAACAGATATTAGCCTGTCAGCAATTTCTGTTTACTGTTGATAGGTCAAGGTCATTCAGGGTTCAACAGAGAGCAGTTGAATACAGGTAAAGTTCACTTACTCTGGGCTGATATCAAGTTTGTTCTTGAAAGCAGTGTATAGGGCAGCGATTGATCTCTCCACTCGCATCTGAAAACATACAGACATCATGGTGACTCACCCTCCATGGTTCCTGACAAAGCGATCTACATATACACTAGGTCTGCATCCCCATGAAAGCATGTGTATATGCCTCCTACAAACATTGGAAATATGGACAAAAGCTTTAGATACCGATGAGACTTTTAAAATACGATATATACTCCTTGATGTGTGTGTATTGTCCGTTTTTCGATCATGTCTGTATTAATGTGATGAACCTTTACATATTATATAGTAGGGGGGCTGGATAGTAAACCAGGGCTTAGTTTAAGATTTTCTGACCCGCAGTGGGGGTCTATGGTTTCAGACGGGACTAATACTAATAGTTGTGCTTAACCCATCAGGAAATAACAAGAAAACTCCCCACATCAAGGCAGGACATAAAGAGACAAGTTAGTGAGGAAGTGGGTGACTGAGTGTAGCTTTAAGCCAGACTCAGCAATATTCCAGCTATATGGTGGTTAAGGTGAGTGAGTGAGTGAGTGAGTTTGGTGAGGATCCCTGGGTCTCAAACTCTTAATTTCCAGGGGTCCTGAATAACAAAATGGGGGTCCCAGACACTTAAATATTATTTAATACTGTTATTGTATTGTGTATCATGATCATCGCATTGTTACAGTAATTAAATTGCAAATGATATCATAACCCAGCTAGTAGCAAGCTCAGTGACAACTTATTGTTACTTGATTGGAATTTATACAAAAAGTATTTGGACTTTTTCTGCAACCCTGTGGATGCACTAATAAATTTTGTTGCGTCCATTGTCAATTTTTATGCGTATAGGACGCAGGAATTCGGGTCCTGTAAATCCCTGTTTTACGCCTCTTTTAAGATAAGATAAGATATAACTTTTTTATCCTGGAGGAAATTATTTTTGTATCAAAAACGGTCTCGAAATGAATATATACAAAATTCACAAAAATATACACAATAATTACATGCACAGAATGAATGCTGATGATTCCATACAATTAACCACAAAGGTAAAGAGGCTGAGGTAGTAGTTATCGAATGCATAATGACTATTAAAAAACATTTGTTGCATTAATAACACGAATACTGGATGGTATGAAAGACTGTCGAGCTCTGTTTGTTTTAAGAGAAGGTAATCGAAAGCTGAATTTTAGCAATATTCCAGCAATATCACACCTGGGGACACCAGAAATGGGCTTTACACATTGTACCCATGCGGGGTATCGAACCCGGGTCTTCAGCGTGACGAGCAGACGCTTTAACCATTAGGCCCCCCATCGCACCTGGTGGTCAAGGAGATGAGTTTAGTCATGCAACATAGTTGAGCGGAACATATTTCTAATGTGATATTCACAGATGAATCCAAATTTCAGTTCTTTTGGAAGAAAAACATAGTCAAGAGGCAGATAATGGTTTACAAAGAATCCTAAATTCTTCTCAAGTTTCTCTTTGACTATGAAGTAGGTTGGATCAGTAAACTCTGAATAACATTGCTCTTGACAGCTCCAAGAAGATTAAATTAAAAATAAATCAGCAAGGCTTTACAATGGGCATCTTTGGTTAGCATTTCAGGAGAATTTCTTAAACAAGACAACCCTTATGATTTACCAGCAGCTGAGACCGCCTCCGTGGTGTAGTGGTTAGAGCGGCCGCCCGGAGAGCGGAAGGTCGCGGGTTCGATCCCCGACCGCGTCATACCAAAAGACGTTAAAATATGGTACTTGTTGGTCCCTGCCTGGCGCTCGGCTTTAATGGGTACAACAAGGACTGGTCGGCTCGGAGTCAGTATACTGTGTCTGAGTGGGGTATTCATGCTTCACTGCGGCATGGTATCTCAGTGAGCTAGCACTATAAAACCAGCTTCAGTCTGGGCTAGTACAAGCAGCCGCACATACATACACACGCATGCACGTCGTCATATGAGCGAAATATTCTCAAGCACGACGTAAAACCCAATTTCACCTCACCAGCAGCTGGATGGATAATGACCAACAGAGTGACTGATCTAAAGGTCCTGCAGTTTCACCTGATCTCAATGATATTAAAAACGTCAAGCAGGTGATCAGTGACAATGTGGAAAAAACTGGAGACAAAGGAATAATACTGAATTGTGCCATGACATGCACTGAACTTTGAATGACCTGCCAAGGTTGTATATTTACTTTGAAATGGCACTGATACAAAACATTACGTGTATAATCTCCTACAAGAAAAAAGATGAGAAAACGTGTAACATATGAATGAATTCGTCAGATATTAATTACATAATAGTACCATGAAAAGCTCACGTTCCTTTGGTAGGTATTTGGAATATATTTTTGTGGTTTTTTTTCAATTATCAAGACAGTATGTACAGTTCGGGTAGCCGAGACATGCATCATCGGACCCTTCCATTAACGCGATAGGTAATGTTATCGGTATCGGGATTATGAACGCTTATTGACATTTGGCATTTTTTATATTTTCGGTTGACTGATGTTTTATCTTCAATTCTGTCGCACATAGTCGCAACTCGTTCAACACGATCACAATATACAAACCATTGTCAAACATTTACTTAGGACAATCTAAACTAGTTTAAATATTAAAAACTATTTAGGAATTTAGGAATTGAGATCAGTAATATCATTTTAAACAAAACATCTGAGACTTCTATTCATTTGGATACACAATAACAATAATTGTTTCCGCTTTTTAAAAAGCGAGCCGTGTGCTGTATTTGCAGGTGAAGGTACACAATACGTCACTTCCAGAAAATATGCAAATGACTTTATAGTTGTTTGCAGGATTACTCTTGACGAAGTAAGTTTTGATTCATGCAAGATGCAATGGCGTTAGAGGTCATATTAGTTTCAAAATGTTCCAAAGATGAATACTCTAACATTTCTAAAATTAGCCATGACACTAAAATAAAATCACTTTTTCAAATGAAATTAATTTTTTTTACGTAATTTGCATATGTAAACAACCGACCCTGGGCGTGGTGTTTCTTCCCCAGAAACCTGTTTATTCACAACTGTCAAGTAACCACCACCCTTGGTGATTTTACGGGACGCTTTAATCACCCCGCACCGTGTTTGCACCCAATCCAGTTGGTTCCACGGTGATTGAATTAATTAGGGTCAAGCACTTCAGTTAGTACTGCGGAGCACACCCATCTCGCGTACAAGAGACGATAGGCCGTCTCGCGTACACGTTACGTCTCTGACTGATTATAGGTTGCAATATGTAGAGTTATGATTACAATAAATGTATCAGTGACTTTCATGCAGAAAACATGACAGAAAACAACTAGAGAGAGTATTTCAAGTTCAATAGACAACCAAAGCTTTTCTGTAGCCCACGGTAATTTATCTTCTGCATCACAAAGAGAAGTGTCCTGTCTTAGTATTAATGAGCAGTTCAGAACTAAACCTTGTGAAGATAGCTTCATTTCTTTAGGGTATCTTCTTTATGTTGACAAAGGAAATATCTGAGCGACACATTTTCAATACCTGTCCTATATCTGGTATAGATAAAGAAAAGTACAATTAAGTGAAAACCTAATGAATAAGCATGTTATAGTTTGTCGAAGACTTTTGGTGCTGTTTCTATTATTCAGATTGGGAACCCACAAAACATAGGACAAAACAAACCAATGTGCATTTTCGCATGTATAACAACATAAACTTAACATGATTCTAAATTGAAATAGAAGGTATCTAAGTTCTAACCTACAGAGACACATCCTCAAATTTCGAAAGTAAGTAGCTTCATCTCCTAATTTTCCATGTTAATAGGCACATGTTTGGAAGCATTTAGGATGAATGATGTAATCTCCAAAATGGTATTCAATCAGCAAATGGAAAAGATGCTGCGGGTTTCACTTGTGACCTAAATGTTCATTTTCACCTTTCATATTTAGAGGAAACTTGTAACATGTTCACAGTAAGTAACGTCGTAAGATTTCCATAAACAGTACAGACCATATCGTCATGAAACTTGTCCAACTGTCCTAAGTTTAACAAACACTAGCATAACAAGGCAAGCGGTAAACGGAATTCAAAACGCATGTCTAGTTGTAACTAAAGACAACGACATTTACATCGTTCCACTGCAACGATTTACCAACAGCAAGATTATCTACAGTAGAAATGTGCAATGACCTGGAAGAGCAGTTTGATCAGATGCATTATGAAATATCACTGTGAGTGTTGCGTTTATTTTCTACCCGTTATTTTGATCACATAAGTACCTGTTCGTCAGATGTTTCTGACCATACTTTATCGTCTCCGAATTTTTCATTTTCAAATTTTTCCCAAGTGCATCTTTGACGGAGTTTGCTGTCATCTTCCATGATTTCAGATTCTGTTCGACGGTGTTTGGGAGTACTTGTTGGGATATATTATCTTTGTGGTACATGTTGAATTCAAATTCTCACCATAAAAATATTGAATAATTATTCATTTGAAATTTTATTGAAACATATTATGCATCTAATCATCCATATGATAATTACTGTCATTAATCATTAGCCATCGTTTACGGATGTTGTTATTTAGTATAATAAACACTCCCAAAATCCGGAATGATATTCCAGCTATGGAAACCGTTTTCGGTTCACTTAAGGGACCCATGGTCCAATCAATGATGAGAATTCCGAAACCAGAATGAATATATTTACAATTACGGTAAAGAAAAAGCTCCTGACACTGATAAGCCATTCGCCGTGTTCTCTATACCATAGCGGGAGGGTAAACTGGTTCCACGGTGTTTCACGCGCCGCAAGCTTAACACTTTTAACCTACTAGCTTACGCATGCAACAGCGCAGTCAACCGGGCGCGTAACGAAGGTGGCACGCACTGTTAAGGAGCTTGCAGTGAACCTACTCAAGATGGGGTAACTCGCGGTCGTATATTTGTCACCTAGCAGTTTTTGGTCGTCCCTCTTTTCCAACCCAACCTACGTTTTAGCAACAAAATGAAGCCCTATAATGCTTTCAATGAAACGGATTATGAAATACTACATTGAACTTTGAAGCATGATTTAATAGAGACCTAATAGATTAGAACCCAGTGTTTATCAAAGTAATTTACAGATTGCAACATAAATGCCTCGTTTGTTTTAAGTCGAGCATTGTCACAACAAGATAACTGACTCAGACAGTCTAGTGATTGACATCATGAGCATTGATCTTCACAACTGGATACAATGACATGCCCCAACCATGTATAGATCTACAATGACATGCCCCAACCAAGTATAGATCTACAATGACATGCCCCAACCAAGACATGCCCCAACCATGTATAGGTCTACAATGACATGCCCCAACCAAATATAGATCTACAATGACATGCCCCAACCAAGTATAGATCTACAATGACATGCTCCAACCAAGTATAGATCTACAATGACATGCCCCAACCAAGTATGGATCTACAATGATATGCCCCAACCAAGTATGGATCTACAATGATATGCCCCAACCAAGTATGGATCTACAGTGACATGCCCCAACCAAGTATAGATCTACAATGACATGCCCCAACCAAGTATAGATCTACACTGATATGCATAAACCATGTCAGTGAGTTTGAACAGATGATCCCATTTGTCACCTCTTACGATAAACATGGGTTGATGAAAAACAATTCTAACCTGGATCTTCACGGGCTTGCACCAAAATGGTTTTGATGGTTCTGTTCTTTATTTCGGAGTAAAACATTTTTTTCTGGCAAGAAATAAGACTGGTCATGGGATAAGACTGTTCCCTTTGTATAGTTATTGGTCTGACAGAATAAGGCGAACAGAGCCCAACAAACTTCTAGTTTATTGGCAATTGTTTGTGAAAAGTGCTCAAGAATAGTTTGGCGAACATTAATATTGATAATCATGATCATTCTGATCTTACATGAGTTTCAAATTTATTTTCAGGAATGATTCATCAGATGCTCATATCAGAAAAAATACAAATTCAAGAATTCCATAAATGGAAGGTCTGCCCAATGAAGTCCTTACCCTAGTATTAGTTTATGTACCTGGGTCTGATTTGGTGAGAAACTGCATCCTGGTATGTCAGAAATGGAGAGACATCATCAACAGCTCTCATCTCTGGCAAAGCAAGTGTGAGAAGACAGGGAAATTCATACCAAACATCACACCTCCACCTCACAATGATGACTACAAGAGACTTTATTTCTTCAATCCATATGGGAGAAATTTGCTGAAAAACTTTTGTGCCAAAGGTATGACAACTTGATGAAATGACAGCAGTCTGATGACTTGATCCTTCAAACAGGACAGTCAGATGACTTGGGTTTTAAACCAAGACAGCCTGACAACATGGGTTGAAAATATTTTCAAAACTCCACTGGACACAGGTCCAGTAAACTTTCAAAATCCACTAGACCAAATATTAATTTCACTTGACCACAATGAACAATTTGGTTTCTTTTGCTAATAATCTTTATCAATTATAAACAACAGACAACTGCATTTTTATTTCATCATCAAAATAGATATGTCGAACAATTCAGTAGTCTGGCACTACTGTACTATGGTAAAGTTTGATGTGGATATTTATTTGACCGACTGGAGAATTCCACAATGGTATTTTTCAACCCCTGCTGACAACATGGGTTTTAAAAACAGGATCATCAGACAACTCAGGATTTGAGATAGGATACTCAGAAAACATTGGTTTTAAAACAGGACAGTGAGATGTCTTATGTCAGTTTGCAACATGGTAACTGGTCAGTCAGATGACTAGATTCTGTAACCATGGTAACAAGTAAAATACATGGGTTTACAGTTCAGTATTAGATCTGTTTCTTTGTATGTGTGAAATATTCTGGTGTTTTAATCATGAAAACATCTTGATTAAAGCAGGGATTTATCTGGACTGCTAAGGGGCTGATATTCAGCCCCAAACCTTCATCAAATGCCTGTAGAAATTCCCGACTGTATTACAAGTTTCTTACTTCTTGTAGATGATAGTAACCAATGTTATGTAACAGACTAATTTGAAAAAATTAACAAGTTTTAACAAAACTGCTTAGCAGGGTCTATAATTTAGAATTCTGGACATATTGTTGTAAGTGTAGTTTCTATTTTTGGTAATCCATTTATTATGCTGCTGTTCAGTTATTTCTTGATTCTCATATTTACAGTTTCTTTAAAGAGAAGGTCAGGGGTAATAGAAAGGTATAAACACAAACATATCATTAGTGAGAATGATTCCTTCAAGTACTGTCTGTTGGAAAATTCAGGGATTGGCCCTGGACTCAAAACTATTGATTGTAGGAGTGTCAGGTAAAGATATGGAGGTCCCAGATTTATATACCATTCAAAAAAAGTAGGGGATATTCCATTTTGCGAGCATACCACTAGCCAATGCCAATGCATATGAGAAAAAGTAATATATATCCATACACATGAAACGTTTCCAAAGGAATGGAATAAATTGTCACATTTCTCTCTAATTTCTCTTCATCATCTGCTTCCTCCTTGACTTCATCATTTGCATTTTATAAATCTTGTAAATCCAATATCCCCTACTTTTATTGGATGGTATATCTAAACTGACTACAGTACTTTACTGATTGTAACATATGGTTCCCCAAGCACAGAGGTCATAAGTTAAGCATAGACAAGTGCTTGAAAATTGTGAAACAGTCAACTGTGTATTAGTGGTGTTCAGATTAATTGAAATAATCGAAGATTGGTCGAAGTGACCAAACGACCAAGCAATCGATCACATTTTCTCATAATCGAACACAAACGATTTTGGAACTGCTGTTTTAGTCTTAGAAACACTTGACGATGGAACATAACTTCGAAGTTGTCAGGGCCTGAAAACTTGTTTAATTCTTAGAAAACTCACTTCACTAACTGAAAAGTCATGACTGAATATTTCTTGAAGACCCCAGAAGGTTTATGTTCATGATATATCAACATCACTTTAAAGTAGCAAGGTGCATCATGTTATACATATCTGCAATAACAACCTGGATAGGAAACTCTGAAAATTGACGCTAACCAATTTTTATCGATGATTGTTCGTTGGTAATGAAGCAATCATCAGTTATGAGATTTCAACCAATTTCCAGCACTACTGTGTATGGTATATTATAAATGACAGCACCAAAACTGATTTTTAGAGGTATTAAATTGTGAGAGCAGTGTTCATTCCTGGACATGGACATTAAATGTACTCAGTAAATATACAGACATAATAAGCAATTTTAATATCTATTTTCTTACTAGTGGGTTGCAGTAAATGGAGGATAAAGGAAGATGGTGGCAATGGATTTGGTGTGGAGGATATACCTGACAATGTGAAGCCACTTTCTGAATTTGTGCATGTAGAAGGTAAGTTCAGTAATGACTTCAGCACTAAGTAATATGTTTTTCCCCACAATGACAACTCCTCTACAAATAACACTGGCTTCCAATCAACATGGGCTGGTGGGGTAGCCTAGTGGTTAAGGTGTTCGCTCGTCACGGCGAGGACCCAGCTTTGATTCCCAACATGGGTACAATGTATGAAGCCTATTTCTGGTGTTCCCCTGTGATATTGCTGGAATACTGCTAAAAGCGGCGTAAAACCATACTCACTCAATCACTCCAATCAACTTACTTAATCCTGTATACCATCTGTGTTATCAACCTCTTCTATTGTATAAACAACTCATTTTCGCCTCATCCCTCATCTAATGTATAAAGATCTCCTGTAATATCACCTCTCATGTACCACTTGTTTGACAACGACATTAGCATCTATGTCGAAACGTGACGAATAAAGAAGTTGTATATCCATAAAAATTGTCCTCATTCTTCAACTCCTCAATTTGTTCAAAATACTCAGACCTGATTTGTATTTTAATGTAATGGCGCCAAAGCAACCATATTGCAAACATTATTTATGGCCATTACTTTGATGTTTGTTTAGTTTAGTGTTGGATTCTAAGCATATATGCTAGGCTTCACTTTTCAGTATTTTACAGTTCAGCTTGTTTTTAGCATGATGAGCATGGTCTTGAATTTGCTCAAAAGGTATATTGGTTCCGGAGATCTCTTCTCACCTGACTGCCACACTGATGCATAAAGGGTTTTCTTTGTTATAGACCGCCTCCGTGGTGTAGTGGTTAGAGCGTCCGCCCGGAGAGCGGAAGGTCGCGGGTTCGATCACCGACCGCGACATACCAAAAGACGTTAAAATATGGTACTTGTTGGTCCCTGCCTGGCTCGGCATTAATGGGTACAACAAGGACTGGTCGGCTCGGAGTCAGTATAATGTGTCTGAGTGGGGTATTCATGCTTCACTGCGGCATGGTATCTCAGTGGGCTAGCACTAGAAAACCAGCTTCAGTCTGGGCTAGTACAAGCAGCCGCACATACACACATACACGCACACGCACATGCACGTCGTCATATGAGCAAAATATTCTCAAGTACGACGTTAAACCCAATTTCACCTCACCTCACCTCACCTCACCTCACCTCACCTCACCTCTTTGTTATAATGACTATGCGTCCCAATCTACTCAGCTGTGAATGGGTACCTTGTAAGGATGGGAAAGCCACATTAACTCGGTGTATGATCCCCATGGAGTTGAGATTGAAAAATACAATGTGCCATTGAGATTGACATCCAATGATCGAGGGGAAAAGCAAATCGCCTTTGAGCAGTTGGGCTGAGCTGATATTGGCGCTGTACAAATATCACATATTATTATTATTGTTTTTATTGTTATTATTTTGTATCCATTGAGTTTTGTGTTACGTTAACTGTTACTGCAGAAAATATTTGAAATTCAATGCAAACTGTATTTGGAGCCATTTTAGACTGTTTCTGAGAGTGACACTAATTTGTTTTTGTTATGCAATAGATATATATCAAGTGGATCAGTCCATTAATATGCAGTGAAGCCATTGCCTATCAGTTGTGTTCAACTTTGTTCTACATGTGTTATTTCAGAGCCTGATGTGAAGGTGTGGACCACATCCTACTACTGGTGTGTCAAGTCTCAAGAGGTGGATCTTAAAGCTGAAGGTGTCGAGGAGTGGATAATGGACCATGTGAAGCCACATATAGGGGTGTCCGAGTGGTAAGTGATGACAGTTGAGGGTGTGAAGCCACATATAGAGGTGTCTGAGTAGTAAGTGATGATATTTGAGGGTGTGAAGCTACATATAGGGGTGTCCGAGTGGTAAGTGATGACAGTTGAGGGTGTGAAGCCACATATAGAGGTGTCTGAGTGGTAAGTGATGATAGTTGAGGGTGTGAAGCCACATATAGAGGTGTCCGAGTGGTAAGTGATGATAGCTCAGGGTGTGAAGCCACGTATAGAGGTGCCCGAGTGTTAAGTGATGACAGTTGAGGGTGTGAAGCCACACATAGAGGTGTCTGAGTGGTAAGTGATGATAGTTGAGGGTGTGAAGCCACATATAGGGGTGTCTGAGTGGTAAGTGATGACAGTTGAGGGTGTGAAGCCACACATAGAGGTGTCTGAGTGGTAAGTGATGATATTTGAGGGTGTGAAGCCACATATAGAGGTGTCCAATGTTAAGTGATGACAGTTGAGGGTGTGAAGCCACATATAGAGGTGTCTGAGTGGTAAGTGATGAAAGTTGAGGGTGTGAAGCCACATATAGGGGTGTCTGAGTGGTAAGTGATGATAGTTGAGGGTGTGAAGCCACATATAGAGGTGTCCGAGTGGTAAGTGATGATACTTGAGGGTGTGAAGCCACATATAGAGGTGTCTGAGTGGTAAGTGATGATAGTTGAGGGTGTGAAGCCACATATAGGGGTGTCTCAGTGGTAAGTGATGATACTTGAGGGTGTGAAGCCACATATAGGGGTGTCTCAGTGGTAAGTGATGATACTTGAGGGTGTGAAGCCACATATAGAGGTGTCTCAGTGGTAAGTGATGATAGTTGAGGGTGTGAAGCCACACATAGAGGTGTCTGAGTGGTAAGTGATGATAGTTGAGGATGTGAAGCCACATATAGGGGTGTCTGAGTGGTGAGTGATGATAGTTGAGGGTGTGAAGCCACATATAGGGGTGTCCAAATGGTAAGTGATAATAGCTTAGGGTGTGAAGCCACACATAGGGTAGCCCGAGTGTTAAGTGATGATATTTGAGGGTGTGAAGCCACACATAGAGGTGTCCAAGTGATAAGTGACAATAGCTTTGGGTGTGAAGCCACATATAAGGTGTCCAAATGGTAAGTGATGATATTTGAGGGTGTGAAGCCACATATAGAGGTGTCTGAGTGGTAAGTAATGATAGTTGAAGGTGTGAAGCCACACATAGGGTAGCCCGAGTGTTAAGTGATGATATTTGAGGGTGTGAAGCCACATACAGAGGTGTCCGAGTGGTAAGTGATGATACTTGAGGGTGTGAAGCCACATATAGAGGTGTCTGAGTGGTAAGTGATGATAGTTGAGGGTGTGAAGCCACATATAGGGGTGTCTCAGTGGTAAGTGATGATACTTGAGGGTGTGAAGCCACATATAGGGTGTCTCAGTGGTAAGTGATGATACTTGAGGGTGTGAAGCCACATATAGAGGTGTCTCAGTGGTAAGTGATGATAGTTGAGGGTGTGAAGCCACACATAGAGGTGTCTGAGTGGTAAGTGATGATAGTTGAGGATGTGAAGCCACATATAGAGGTGTCTCTGAGTGGTAAGTGATGATAGTTGAGGGTGTGAAGCCACATATAGAGGTGTCCAAATGGTAAGTGATGATAATAGCTTAGGGTGTGAAGCCACACATAGGGTAGTCCAAGTGGTAAGTGATGATATTTGAGGGTGTGAAGCCACACATAGAGGTGTCCAAGTGATAAGTGACAATAGCTTTGGGTGTGAAGCCACATATAAGGTGTCCAAATGGTAAGTGATGATATTTGAGGGTGTGAAGCCACATATAGAGGTGTCTGAGTGGTAAGTAATGATAGTTGAAGGTGTGAAGCCACACATAGGGTAGCCCGAGTGTTAAGTGATGATATTTGAGGGTGTGAAGCCACATAAAGGGGTGTCAGAGTAGTGATTGATGATAGTTGAGGGTGTGAAGCCACATATAGGGGTGTCTGAGTGGTAAGTGATGATAGTTGAGGGTGTGAAGCCAGACATAGAGGTGTCCAAGTGGTAAGTGATGATAGCTTAGGGTGTGAAGCCACATATAGAGGTGTCCAAATGGTAAGTGATGATATTTTAGGGTGTGAAGCCACATATAGAGGTGCCTGAGTGGTAAGTGATTATATTTGAGGGTGTGAAGTCACGGACTGTGTTTCAGGTATGCAGCTCGTCATGATAGCGGATGTGCCTATGAAATGACTGTCCGCTTACTGGATTGGATGGGACATCAGATAGACAGCCATGTGTTCCTCAAACAGTTTCAGCGTGGTGAGGGAGGAGACTGGCATCAGGTGAGTTAGAATCTGTGTCAAAATGGAGCTACAATTGTAATGTCATTAGCTACATATATACAACATGTAAGTGCCTCAGAGATCTTAAGCTTTTAATCATAATCTTTCCTAAGCGAGTCTAGATTATTCTTTTAAAATTTCTGAGGATGCTTGTAGCTTTGACAACTTCAGACATATATCCAATTTTGTAAACAACAGTTTAAATCCCCGTTTGATGTGTTCCAGGTGAGCCACACTTTCAAGGACTACCAACCTGGTGTACGCTATGTCGACTTCCGTCATGGCGGCAAGGACATGGAGTTCCTGCCAGGACATCATGGAGTCAAGTTCACCCTGTCGTCCGTCCGCCTGAAGTTCACGCCAAGCCACACAGCAAGCCTTTCAAATAACCAGAGAACACATAAAGTGTCAGAGGATTAAACAATGGACAATTTTCCCCAGTGTTTTCATAGCAGTCTGAGGTTCATGACTTGTCCTAGACCGACTGTATCATGGCTATGACCTTCAGTGGTTGTAGTTCCTTGAATTGTTGTTGAATTATTTGGACATTGAAGGTTTATGTGGTCTTTCCTGCTGACCACATATTTATTTGTGGTTTGGTAGCCCAGTGGTTAAAGCTTTCACTTGTCATGCCGAAGACCTGTGTTTGATTCCCCAGATGGGTATGATGCATGATGCCCATTTCTGGTGTCCCCCGCCGTGATATTGCAGGAATATTGCTAAAAGCGACATAAAGTCATACTCCCTCACTCCCTCATCCTCGATAATCTCCAGGGTATACGTTACGATCACTCTCCACTATACCCTGGATGCATCCACGGCTTGGCCCGATAATTATATTACCTCCCTTTGCTGGCTCCGCATTCTCACAGTAGCCAATCAACTAAGCCACCGTTACATCCGAGCTTGCCAGTGTCAACAAAGATAGCGGTCGCGGTGCCAGTCAGATTTTTGAGGAAAACATACAGACAAATTGACAGATCTGAAACTTTCAAAAAATATATAAAGAACTCCTTTTACCTCTTTCAGAGTACCTCTGCATCAATTGTGTTGCCAAGTTTAAACGGTTAGATAATTTAAGAAGCGAAAATGAGTTGTGAGTTGTGATTGGTTCACTCAACTTCCCAGCGTAGACACCTGATTGGATAAAAAGCCAGCCAAGGGAGGTACTAAAATCATCGTGCCAAGCCGTGGATGCATCCAGGGTATAGTGGAGAGTGATCGTAACGTATACCCAGGAGATTATCGAGGATGTCACTCGATCAATTCCTTGTCTTGTTGACGTCACTAAACGTCACCAAAATAACACCAGAGTTGGGATTAACTACTGCTCAAAATATTCAAGTTGAAAACTCCAATGTAATATTGATAATGTGAAAAAAAGGTGTCAAAAGAACAGTTGATAAATGTCGAAACTTCTTTCCTTTTCAAGGCCAAGTTGATAATAATCTTTTTTGTTTTTGTTGGGAGGTCAGGCTGTATCATTTTCTTCATACAAGTAGGTCGCGATATGACTGAAATATTGACATACTGACTATAATTTTTAACTCACTCATACAAGTAGGTCGCAATATGGCTGAAATATTGACATACTGACTATAATTTTTAACTCACTCATACAAGTAGTTTTTCTGTCCCAGTCCACAGTATTCCAGGGGCGGTGGGGTAGCCTAGTGGTTAAAGTGTTCGCTCGTCAAGCAGAAGACACAGGTTCAATTCCCTGAAATATTGCTAAAAGCGGCATTAAACTAAATTCACTCACAGTATTCCAAATAAGAACCTCACATGCATCTTGGTGCAAAGTGACATACAGGTAGTTCTGAATTCTGAACTACACCCTGTGCATGTGCCTTGTAGAAGATGAAACTCTATCTATCTGATAATAGCATTCTGATATGTTTCAGATGAGAAAAGAGCATGAAAAAATATGTTAATTTTTTGCAGTGACTTTCTTAATGGAGGGGAATGTTTTGAATTCCAGAATGAGCGTAAAGGAAATTTTCAGATACTCATATAGAGACTTTGTATCAGTTATAGTGTTCATGATTTCCACCTGTTTGATTATGATATCTTTATCAAGTGCTCACCATTTACATGTTGGATTGTGATATTTATACAGAGTGCTTCCGGACTGTGATATGTTGTGTTACAGTACAGACTTTGTTAACAATGGCATGTTGTTTTACTGTTGTTTTAAACAACTGTTTATTTCAATAAATATGTGATTGTTTAAACTGTGTAAAGAGTATTTCCTTGCTTCATGAAATGTATGAAACATGTGTCCATGAAGTGTGATTACACACAAACTTAGATATCTAAATAACAATTTAAAATAGTTATATAGTTATGATTGATGATGGTGATTATTATGATTGATGATGATGATTTATTGGTGATGGTAAGGATGATGATAAACATGATTGGTGATGATAATGGTGATGATGATGATGATGTCAGTCTATTTACACAGCCAAGTGTGAGAAACTAGAATATATGAAACCTTAAAAGAGTAATTATGCTAAAAGTGTGTTCAAGTATTTATATCCGAGTGAGCTAAGTCAATAAAGGTTAGCACATTTCTGGCTTCCAGAGTTGGCTTCATTCAGCCTGCGTTAACCAATGTCAATTAAAGATAACATGGGACATTACTCTGAATAGAACAAATGAAGTGCAGCCCTAGATGTAAAGCACAATGTCTGCCATGGGTATTACTGTTACACAGGTGTTAGAGGTTATCAAGTGTTTCACTGCTAGACAAAGTTTTAGGTGTAGCTTCCCCAGTGATTATGTGTATTACCCTTCTCCACTGCGTAGATCGATGTTCATAATGTTGATCACTGGATTGTCTGGTCCAGACTCGATAGACCGCCGCCATATAGCTGGAATATTGCTGAGTGCTGTGTTAAAGAGCAAGCCAACCAACCAATCCACTGATGAGACCAGAGGCCCAATGCAGTACATACTGCCTAGGAGAGTTTTGTTATGTTTGTTTTTATGCTATTTTAGTTACATACCTAGCAGGCTTTTCCTTAAAATAAGGTATATCTCCCAGTTTCAGTCAAAGAATTGTCAAACCCATGAAGATCGGGGTTACAATTGGTCTTCGGCAAGCCATGCTTGTAAGGAGGGACTAAACGGATCTGGTGGTCAGGCTCGCTGACTTGGTTGACCCACATGTCATTTTGTCCCAATGTGCGTAGATCGATGCTCATTCTGTTGATCACTGGATTGTCTGGTTCAGACTCGATTATTTACAGACCGCTGCCATATAGCTGGAATATTGTTGAGTGTGGCGTTAAACAATAAACCAACAAACTAAATGCCCTTAAGAATGTCCAGGAAGTTGTTAAACTGGAGAGCCGCACCTATGATGTGTACGGACAGTCTTGGTCAAATAAACTACGAAGTCAATCAAAGGTGATGGGGTTTATCAGGGTCAACGCTGGGTCACTGGGATTGTCCAGTGTTTTGACACAGAACGTGAGTCATGCATGAGTGAGTGATTTTTACAAACTGGGAGTGAAGGGAATCATGGAGAGGATCCCTTGGGGATCGCGGGTTAGAATACGTCCCCAGCAACCTATTCTGGGGCTAAGAGGCCTCTAAATGAATCCTGGTGGCCAGGTCCGTGACTCGGTGGCAAGGCCGATTGTTTTCCGTTTAACTAAAGGACGCGGATCGTTGGTCAAGCCGGTCACTGGATTGTCTTGCCCGGACATTATTTGCAGGTCACTGCCATACAACTGGATTAATTCTGAGTGGGGGCGTGAAACAACAAACACCGGAGAGTTGTTGATGAGGAGGATCGACCTGCCATACAAGATGTAATTAACTCACACCTACTACTCAGTATAATGAGTAGATGGTGACTGGTTGCCATGGTTTCAAAATATAGATTGACAACATGGAGCATACTCGAACAGACTATAATTCTGCAAGCATTGGACTGTTAATCCCAATCCGCTTATAGCCAATTGAAGTGCAGTCAAAATGAGAATCCTCCATCACAGGCACTAGGATTGGACTGACTGACTGACTGAGTTTAGTTTTACAGCTTTAGCAATATTCCAGCAATATCACGAGTGAGAATGAGTTGGGTTTTACGCCGCTTTTAGCAATATTCCAGCAATATCACGGCAGGGGACACCAGAAATGGGCTTCACATTGTACCCATGTGGGGAATCGAACCTAGGTATGTACAGCCTATGATCGTGTACCAGGTTGGTGTGAACCCGGAACCCGAAATAAATCGAACCCGGGTCTTCGGCGTGACGAGCGAATAATTTTTTCAACCACTGGGCTACCCCACCGCCCCAACATATTCCTGAGGAAGTTTAGTGTTCGTGTTTGTCGTGGCGGTACTTGACGCTAACAATATGCACACGATTTATCTGGTTCTCATGACCTTGACCTATACTTTTCTGCACAATATCTCCATACTGAACAAGATGTCACCTCTTGTCCTGCATGTTTACTTTATGTCATCACTCATCGAGCGGCGGTACTTGACGCTTCAGTATTTTCTGACTTTACATTCTTCAAAATTGTAATAAATGAAAAAGGGCACTCTAATAGATCTCTATTCTATAACAATACTGCGTAGAAGAAAAACAGTGATTATTATATAGTTTAATTTCAAGTTTCTTATTTTCAGTGTCGGTTATGAGTATGCCGATGGCTTCTTAAGATATATACTTATGGAAACGAATAAGGAAACACATGAAAGTACAAGTGTTTCCTTTATTCTTTTCCAGTTTTTTTCACAAGGTATGTATTGCACTGTGGGTGAAATTCTGGAAATAAATAAAAGAACACTTGTACTTTCATGTGTTCCCTTATTCGTTTTCACAACAAAAACCTTTGCTAACCGTCTAACAGCTGGAAAACTTCTTTGTTATCATCTGGATTTGTATTGAGTTTGAAGCTGCGTTTGATATATATTGAATCGGGGATTTTCCTTGATACACAGGAAGTGTAAAATTTGTTATGAATTTCTCTGCTCATTATTTTGCTTGACGTCATTTAATTCTATAATTGTAACCCGCACACATTTATTCTAGGTGCGCTCTTTCGTTCCACAGGTTGTGCCAATTAGTTAAGCTGTCATCCTACTTTTGTAGATACACACTAGGCCATACCATCAACACTATAAATATCCATTAATTAAACAAATGAAATAAATTCCACTGCACTCTCCTTCCTGGGAAGTTCCAAGCGGCCAGACACAAGTCATCGCTGCGCCGGAGTATGGCTGCACTGTGACGGATGTGACGTCAGTCTTTTCTATGACGTCACTCTTCTGTTCCCGTAGCGCTCACTTCAGTGCTGACACTAGTGCGTGAATGACGTGGGTTTTTTCACAGTGATCAGATTCAACTGCACCGAGAGGTAAGTGACCTAGTGGCACGAACACCACGTGCCGTTTTCGTCTTATCCACGCGTCCTGATACCGGGTGTCGTCCATCCCGTCCTGTCTGATACGGGTGTCTTCCACCCCGGCCTAGTTACATGCACGATATGCACAGTCTCGCTACATACATGCGTCCTTATTGATAACGGGTACTAAACATACACGTAAAAGGTTTGTCTTCTGATTTCAGAATTACAGTGGCCTATATTGTCGACTATGGGACGAATGTCGAGATGGTTTCAATCCGCCGTACAGGTATTGTGTAATTTCCCTGTAGTATCCACAAAGGACAGTCGAGATTGTTGTGTCGAACTGTGAGGTGTCGAACTTACGGTTGTTTAGAAGTGAAAGTTATGTGCCTGCATAATCCTTCTTTAATTTGTTTAGAAGTGAAAGTTTTGTGCCTGCATAATCCTTCTTTAGTTTGTTTAGAAGTGAAAATTTTGTGCCTGCATAATCCTTCTTTAGTTTGTTTGGAAGTGAAAGTTTTGTGCCTGCATAATCCTTCTTTAGTTTGTTTAGAAGTGAAAGTTTTGTGCCTGCATAATCCTTCCTTAGTTTGTTTAGAAGTGAAAATTTTGTGCCTGCATAATCCTACCTTAGTTTGTTTAGAAGTGAAAATTGTGTGCCTGCATAATCCTACCTTAGTTTGTTTAGAAGTGAAAGTTTTGTGCCTGCATAATCCTTCTTTAGTTTGTTTAGAAGTGAAAGTTTTGTACCTGCATAATCCTTCTTTAGCTTGTTTAGGAGTGAAAGTTTTGTACCTGCATAATCCTTTTTTCCTTAGTTTGTTTAGAAGTGAAAGTTTTGTGCCTGCATAGTCCTTCTTTAGTTTGTTTGGAAGTGAAAGTTTTGTGCCTGCATAATCCTTCTTTAGCTTGTTTAGGAGTGACAGTTTTGTGCCTGCATAATCCTTTTTTCCTTAGTTTGTTTAGAAGTGTACGTTTTGTGCCTGCATAGTCCTTCTTTAGTTTGTTTAGAAGTGAAAGTTTGTCCTTCCATAGTTTGTTTAGAAGTGAAAGTTTTGTACCTGCATAACCCTTCCTTAGTTTGTTTAGAAGTGAAAGTTTTGTGTCTGCATAATCCTTCTTTAGTTTGTTTAGAATCCTGAAAGTTTTTAGTGAAAATTTTGTGCCTGCATAATCCATCTTTATATTGTTTCGAAGTGAAAGTTATGTGCCTGCATAATCCTTCTTTAGTTTCATGAGTTCAAATTTGTGTTGAACCTTGACATATATTCTTTTGTCCATTCAGTTTCGACACTTCAGCGTTTGACTGTAGTATTTTTATATGAAGACTAAATGATTAATTCTGAGATTCATCATCAGAGAGATGTCTTCACGGTGTTCGTTTCACTACCAGGTGTTCAGGGCGTGTGTCGGACGTAGATCAGCTCAGACTGATGTCCAGAAGGAGAAGGCAACGAAAAAGAAGAGAAGTTATCGGTTGTGGGTTTTCCGAATAAACAGGAAAGTCAGAGGCAGCCCACATGCTGTTTCCTGCCCAGCAGCACCGACATCATCAGCAACAACAACAACAGAATCAGCACGTGATGGTGAAATGATAATGACCTCTCTAAATACAAATAATACCCAAGAAATTCAGAATGAACAATTTGACTAATTTGCGATATAAATCTCCGACTGGATGAATGTTTAGCCCAAACTGAGTGAGTTTGGTTTAACGCCACCCTGACCAGTATTTCAGTCATATCACGGCTTATCGGCTTAAAGTGGTGTCCCGAAGTGACGGGTATGGTGATGCCCTCCCTAGAAAACTACTCAGGACTAACCGGGATTCGAACCAAAACTGAAAGCGGAAGTA